CTACTAATCATCAGTGAAAAAAATGTTAATACAATGCCTTTTAATTAAAAGAATTTAGCAAAAATAATAATCCTATAATAATCCTTGCATTTGATATAGCGCCTTATATAGTTGTCGAGACGTCTCAAAGTGCTTCGCAGAATATACTGTAAAGTGTAGTGACTGTGTGTTTTGTGTGCGAAAGTGGTAGCCAATTGTGCACAGCAACGTCCAATAAACAGTCATAGTGGATTGAGTGATCACATTTTTTTTGAGGAATTATTACCCCGGAAAGCAATCCACCAATCGATCAAAAAGAGGATTCCTACCTACTGTCAGGTAAACATATGTGTGTGAGTGGCATAAGGAAACTTGCCTAAGGTTTTGCCCTGGATGGATATTGTGAAATTGTGAAAATAGAATCCCAAATAATAGGAAGGTTCCAACCTCCAATATACACTGGAGCCCATTATAATGCAATGTTTGGGGCTCATAAAATTGCTAACAATTGCCATATTGAGGCATAATAGCAGTTTTACTGTGCATGTATTAACGAAAAAAGGGTTGACTTCCAGTTCATCGGCTCACTGCCAACACCACTGCTTGTTGTAGATGCACAAAACAGGATACAACATAAATTGTGACCTGAAGGTATGGCAGTCAGGCTTTTCTTAGCTAAAATGGCTGACTTCAGAGCCATTAAGTTGCTGCTGGTGTGACTTTTTGGTTTGCAGCAAAGCAGGAAGTGACACCAACAGCAAGCTAATGACCCAGAAGTTGGTTGTTTTAGTGCGAATTGTGCTTTATTATTGAAAGCTTCATGATAAATGAAATGTTACCTCGGGTAAAGTTTTCTTTTTACCAAGTCATCTACTTGATTATCAAAAAGATCTAGATATTGAAGTTAAAATTGCTCTATTTTATATATCACCTTGATAAGCAGTGTGTGGGGATTCTTCCAAAATATTTTGAATCAGTAACTCCAAATCTTTTCAACTTTGCCTAAATTAGTGAGCTGGCATAATTCAAACAATTATTCTGCTGTTGTTACATTAATAGCTTTTTCCATTTGATGAGTTTTCCACATTGAACTAATTATGAAATGTTGAATTGTTGTAAAACTGGGGTTTAAAATATTTGTGGGATCAGCCAGGTATCAGATACATGTGGAAACCCCACGATACCCTATTGTGATACCCCATAATAGAGTATCCAAACTACACTGATATTTCTACATTCATATGCCACCTGCTCATGGAAATTTCCCTGTAGCTAGAATGGGTTGCACACTCTCTTCTTGGAGGCATCCTGCTTAACTAATTTCAGCAAGTATTAGGTACTGGTTGGCAAGAGCTAAGCTTGGAGATCTCAAAGAGTGTGTTGGGATACTCCGAGAGTTCAAGCAACTAAAACTAAATAACAGAATCCTTGCCCCAGTCACCAGTCTGCCCCTCCAGTTCCTGCTAATGAATCAGGCTACCAGCAGTACCTTGGAGCTCTGTAAACATATCTGGTTCAGGAACCAGACGATTGAAACTGCCACAGAAGATGTACTGAATTCCAACATTCTGTGGCCAAGCATGTCACCTTGGAGCCAACTCAGTTCCAGGGAGACCTTGCTTATGTCCCCCTCGAGGAGGATCATGCTTTCCTAATGAATGTTTCATGTATCCCTATGATTGGAAATCTGAAATGAAAGTTGATTCAAGGAAGGTTCTGAAAAATAAATGCTACATTAATGTCTTGGGTTATGATTCACAGAGATTGACACTCTGCGAATCTACTGTATTTTCAGTTTTAACCTGTCCTCTCAACAGTAACAGCAATTATAGAGTGCCCTTCTTACAGAATGGTACCTTGGAGCACTGCACAATGGTGGGGTTGGACGCCAAACAAAATAAAAGTGGGAGATGTGGTGGAAGAGACCTATCTTTTCGACAATAGGCGTGATAGAAGAGTGCGATTTAAAGATAGATCAGGGTGACACAGAGGGATCGAGGTAGGGAGTTCCAGAGGCTAGGGTGTAGTGGCTGAAAGCACGGCCACCAATGGTAGCATGGAAGGGTTGAGGGACATGCAGCAGGCCTGTGTTAGCTTATTATTATTATTATTATCGTTGAGTCACTGAATCATTTGGAAATAGAAAAAGTGGTAATAAATAGATACGGTACAATTACATTACAAAAAGTAAGATAATTTGATAGATAGTGTTAAATGAATTTTGACACATCACTGTTTGCTAATGTTCTCAGATTCATTCTCTGATCTGTCAGATCTCCCAGCTCACTTCATCAGAACAGGTCAAATTCAGTTCTTGTGGTGTACAATGATATACACTTAGGGAGATAAGGGAGATTTGTGAAGTACTGCAAGACAAATTGAATGCATCAATCTGGGGAGGTTTCAACAGTCTGGAATCAAACAAATATGGTTGTCAGACACAATAACCTGAGCTCAACAATTGGAAAACTTGCACAGTAGAACCTGGTTCACTTATAGCATAATTCGGGTATGGACCCCAACATTTACTTATCCCAAATAATCCCTCCAAAGAAACAAAACAATAGTAAATTGGTCATTTTAAATTCATGACTGTTTGTGGGACATTACTGTGCGCAATTGGCTGCAGCGTTCGCCCCCAAATATACAGTCAATTCACTTTACAGTATATGCTGTGAAGTGCTTTGGGACGTCTAGAAGACATGAAAAGCGCTATATCAAATGCAAGGATTATTATTATTATATTATTACCCCAAAAAATCCAAAATAATAATAATCCTTGCATTTGACATAGCATCTTATCACGTCTTTGAGATGTCTCAAAGGGTTTCACTGAATATACTGTTAAGTGAATTTACTGTATATTTTGTGGGCGAAATGTGGCAAACAAACAGTCGTGGATTGAGTGACCAATTTATTATTTTTTTGGAAAGAATTATTACTCCCAGAAAAGCGATCTGCCAGTCAACTAACAACCGTGTTCCTACTTTCTGCTAGGTAAACAGAGGCATGTGGAGTAAGAAAATTTGCCCAACATTTAACCCTGCTGGGAATTTAACGCAGGTCTCTCGCTTGTGAGGCGAGTGCTCTAACCACTACGCTTCAGGTCTCCATGTGTGCATGGTTCCATTGGTGTTTCAAAAGCATTCAGAAAGCCAAATTAGCTGACATAGGTGTCCTGAACTCATCAGTGACATAATTTCTAGCATGTCACAAGTGACATCAAGAACAACCTATTGCCCTGGATATTGGCTATATTTTAATGAAAGGAAGCTTATAATGCTGGAGCCATGTAGACAAATAACTCAAGTCTGGGTCATCTGCTTACTGCACACCTGCATCGTGCAGGAAGTGAAATTGGTGGTGATCTGATGATCCAGAAGATGATGATTTTATAGTGCGCAGGAAGCGGCCTGGCTCCCTCCACACATGTACAGTGACATTACTGGTCATAGCAGAGGTGACATCATGATGCAGAAGTACTGACGAGCACTCACATCCTGTAAGAAGGCTGGTTGGCATTTTATGGATGCCAACCATGCTGCATTATATCATAAAATCATAGAATTATACAGCACAGAAGGAGGCCTTTTTGCCCATTGTATCTGTGCTGGCTCTTTGAAAAGAGCTATCCAAATCAATCCCACTCCGCCGCTCTCTCCCCATAGCCCTGCATACATCATGATATCACCTATGTCATCATGATAGCCCAGTGCTGCATCTTGATGTCACCTATGCAGATATATGCTGGAGCCCTTAATATGGCATTAAATGAATGCAGATTTCAACATCTAAAGGTCAATGGAAATGAGTCTTGAGCTAGTGAATTTAGCATTGCTGCACTACTGGAACCGAGAGCCTCAATTTTCTCGTGATCAATTGACAGGATAAAGCTGGTACATGTAGCTCCCAAGTTTCTGATTTCTGCTGTTGTCATGTCAAGTAAGTATGGCATTATTGTGACATGATGGAGTGCAATGATTAAGTCATTTGATATTAAAAAAGATGTTTGGTATTATGCATTGAAATTGAAACGTTAAAATGCTGACCAACATCAGTGGCAGTTTTCGTTTAACTTAGATTTGTTTTAAATATTAGACGCAGAAGTGTACTCGAGCCTTTAATGTTTTTAAAGTTATTCCTCAATGTGTAAAAGATATACAGTTCACTTTTTTCACCTCCATTTAGCTTTATGTTCTTTTTATGTTGGACTATTAATTTGACGCGCTAAAAGTGGAGGATATGTACAGGGGGGCCATAGGGTGATGTGATCACATGGTGGGATGTTTTACTCTGACATATATCATCTTGACAGTAAGTAAAGTTGATATTCCCCAAACCCGAATATATATTGGAAACCCGTTGTGGTGTTGGGGAGGGTAGGTGTGGAGATGGAGGGTGGAGGAGCTGTGATAGTTATGACTGTTAGGAATTTTAGGACTCAAGTTGTGATAATCACTCAACGCATTTTGGAATTAAGTCAGCGTCGTCAGTTGCAGTATAAATCCAGGCTTACTGCAGCTGATTTCAACAAAATCCTGGACCTTAAAACAATTAATTCCCTTTGAAAGGTAATAAGCTACTGTTAGACCTTTGAATGTCACATAAGATCCAATTTAACTTCTGGCTTTTAAGACTGTTTACAGTATAACTGATGTTCAGGGCCGGAGGAAACATAGCTGAAGAGCTTGCATTGAGTAAGGAACAGTGCATCCAAAAATCTGATACAATCCTGTGTAACAAATAAAAAACGTAGGGTGAATGAATTGCTCTGTGCTCAAGGTAAGGGAAGCTCCTCTTCATTGAATTATTGCTAGGTGCTGCAACTTTGTTGAGTTGTCTAACAATCTCCCCTGTCCACTCCCTCCACTTTGCTAACTCTTGCCTGCTTCATGTCACCCAATTTCAAACAGGAAAAATAACTAATAATGGAGTTTGAAAATTTCCCATTGATTGAGAATTGCAGGCAAACAAAATGTGAAATTTTCTTCTGTTTTAACTCAGGCTTTTTTTCTTGGTGCAGACGCTTCAATGGAGATAGGCCACTGCGACGACAGACAATGCAGAAAGGAAGGAGGCAGGCATTCCGGGGGCCTGCTTACATGTTTACTGACAGATCGACTAGTCTAAGTGCCGATGAAGAACGATTTCTGGACGCAGCTGAATATGGCAACATTCCTGTGGTCAGAAAGATGCTCGAGGAGTTTGGATCACTCAACGTGAACTGCGTTGATTTTATGGGTCAGAATGCACTGCAGTTAGCTGTAGCAAATGAGCATCTGGAGGTCATAGAGCTTCTGCTGAAAAGGGATAACCTGTCACGTGTTGGGGATGCCCTATTGTTGTCCATCAGTAAGGGCTATGTGCGAATAGTGGAGGCCTTATTAAGCCACCATGCTTTTACTGCCGGATGTAGGCTAACTGTAAGTCCAAGCCAGCAGGAATTACAGCATGATGACTTTTATGCCTATGATGAGGATGGTACTAGGTTTTCCCATGATGTCACTCCAATAATCCTGGCAGCCCATTGCCAAGAGTATGAAATAGTTCACATTCTTTTGAGGAAAGGCACACGTATAGAGCGACCACACGACTACTTCTGCAAGTGTGGTGAGTGCACCGAGAAACAGCTGCACGACTCCTTCAGCCATTCTAGATCTAGGATAAATGCCTACAAGGGTTTGGCAAGTCCTGTTTACTTGTCACTGTCCAGTGAAGACCCAGTACTAACCGCTCTGGAACTCAGCAATGAGCTAGCTGTGCTGGCCAACATCGAGAAAGAATTTAAGGTGAGTTCAGTCTTAAAGAAGGTGAGGTGGGAGATGAAAGCTTTAATATTATTTAAAACATCACAAACATCACCCAATTATGTTTATAAAATTTACTGAAGATCAGGACAATATGTAGTACATTTTGGTATGAAGAATAGGGGAAGAAAATACACCTTAAATAGTAAGATTTGATATGAAGTGGAGGAGTAGAGTGACATTGATGTGCAAGTACATATATTAAAGTTACAACAACAACAACAAGATTCCATTTATTGAGCGCCTTTCACGTCGGGAGGACGTCCCAAGGTGCTGTACAGTTGGGTCAGGACCTGAACAAGGGGGAAATGGTCAGGGTGAGGGGAGGGAAGGGAGGGAGCGAGGAGGGGGTAGAGAGTTGAGAGGGGAGCTGAAGGCACGGTCAAAGAGAAAGGTCTTGAGACCGGCCTTGAAGGAGGAAAGGGAGGAGGCGGTGAAGGCACTGGGGGATAGAGTTCCAGAGCCTAGGGGCTGAGAGGCTGAAGGCCCGGCCACCGATGGTAGGACGGTTGGGGCGGGGGATGTGGAGCAGACCGGAGCCAGAGGAACGGAGGGTACGGGCAGGTAGGTAGGGGGATAGTAGGTTGGAGAGGTAGGAGGGAGCAAGGCCGTGAATGGCCTTGTAGGTGAGGATGAGGATCTTGAAATCGATCCTCTGGGGGATGGGGAGCCAGTGGAGGCGAGCGAGGGTGGGAGTGATGTGGTCCGAAGCCTGGTGCGGGACAGTACACGAGCTGCAGAGTTCTGAATGACCTGCAGCTTGTGGAGGGAGGTGCCGGGAAGGCCGGCGAGGAGAGAGTTCCATAGTCCAGCCTTGAGGTGATAAAGGCGTGGACCAGAGTTTCAGCAGCGTGAGGGGTGAGGTAATGCCGTAGTCTGGCGACATTCCGGAGGTGATGGAAGGCGGTGCCAGTTGTGGTGCGGATATGAGGGAAAAAGGACAGCTCAGGGTCGAACAGAACCCCGAGGTTCCTGACTGGCTTTGAAAGGTGGAGAGTGCAGCCTTGGATGCTGATGCTGTCAGCGCCTGTTAGCAGCAAAGGTAGATGAAATCATTAAAAGGGCCATAAAAAGGCAAACTTTTTTCTTGATTTTATATATATATATAAAATACAAAAGTAAGTAAATAATTTGAACCCAGAAGGGAGTTCTACCAGTGTCATAGCCAACAACAACAAAATTACATTTATAGAGCGCCTTTAATAAATCGATCATTCACTGATCAATTTAATGGCTGCTTGGTATGTGTAAATTGGCTGTCAATTGGAAGAGAGATTATATGAAGTTGCCCTGTCTCAAGGACAGCATATGATTGTGATCATGTGTGGGGACTATGCTGGTCATCCTGCACGTTTTACATTCTTCCCATGTCTGTTTATTAACGTAAAGTGCAGCTGTTCTGCTTGAGTGTAACTCCATTAGGAAATATCAAATCAATGCTTGCAACATCTGGTAAGTCCTGAGATCCCTTTGACAATGTTTATCCCATGGTCAAGGCAAACACAAGGCAACTCATATGTTTATCTTTCTAATTGAAGAAGAACATTGGATTAAATAGCAAATCAATAGGGCATAACTTTGTTTTTCCTGGTGCTTCATTTGACTGTGGCTACAACAAATTGTTCCAGACTTCTGGATAATCCTAACATTTGGTATAGTGCCTTTCATGTCCGAAAGATGTCCTAAATCGCTTCACAGGACATACTGTAAGGCCTGGTGAATGTGTTTGTGGGTGAATGTGGTTGTTTCATATAAATAAAGGATATTTTGATTAATGTAACCAGAATGTACTGTAAATGGTCTATGCTTTTATTTATCTATTATAATGGGATTGCCTTGCCAATCATGCTCCTTACTCTAGACCAGGGGCTCTCAAACTTAGTCACATTGAGCCTCCCTAAGCCAAGAAAGAAAATAATTGTGTTTCCCACAGTTCACCAAGACAACACAAAGAACTGAAAATCCTATATCCACATCAAAGTACAAGGGCTCTGATCAGTAAGTTACAATAAGAATATGAACATCAAAAGCATCAATTCTACTTCACCAAGCACTTTCATGCTTGCTTTGTCTTAAAAGAGCAGCCAAAACAAAACTGCACAAACACTCCAGGAAATCACAACATCTAACAACTGCAGAGCATGTCAGTGCAATATCTTCAGTGGGAGGAATGAACCGGTCTCCTCGCTGATTAGGTCAGGGATAGCTCAAACATAACCCCCCCACCCCCAAAACAGGGTGAAGGAATTTATTCCTAGACCACTAATTATGCCACATTTGACCAGAGGCTAAGATTGTTACAAAAACATTCTGGGTTGTAGATGCAAGCAGTGGGGCTGAACCAGTGCTTTGAGTTAATGACTTGTCAAATGCCTGGAGTGATCTCACCGATCAAATGCTAAGAAATCAGCTGAGGATCACTGAACAGCTACAGGTGTACTGGTCATTTTGCAATAAGCACTTTGATTCTCACATGCAAATTGTTCCTTTAGGCTGGTCTGTAAGTAAATATTAATCTTAAATTGTGATTAAGTAGTGTTGTGTGCATCCTAAATATTTAATCAATGAGGTAATTTTATTTCGAGAGAACAGAATTGTATTTATTTAGAATCATGGCTAAATAGTATTCTTCATGGCCTGGCAATTCTGGTACGCAAAAAGATTGAGTAAGCAGGTGAGCAGATAATAATCATTTATCTGTTTAATTTAGCATCTTTCCACCCACATCCATGGCCATCCCCTCGATCTGATGATTACCTGGGGCCTCACTGTTTCAGATATTGCCATCACTGTTAAAGCCATCTGAGACTTGTATTTCATCTCCTGTACCTCCTCCTTTCACCCTTCCTGTCGCTTAACCCTCTACAATCCTTTATTGCCCCTGGAAAAAAATATCCCTTCATGTTTAAATAGTCATTTGAACTCTTACCTCACTGGACTTCCTCCCATAATGACCTATCCTCCTCAATCACTGTCCTCCACAACTTCCTCTCTGTCATCCTTGACACCCTTGCCCCAGTCACCTCTCCTACTCTCGCAAGACTCCCTGTTATACCTCTGCTCCCTCAAGTCCCAGGTGCATTCTGTTGAAGGATTCTGCTGAATGCACCTGGCACAAATCCATATGGAGCTATGCAGGTCCTGTAGGATTATGTGGTCCATCACCAGATCTGGCTGGACTGCACTAAGACCTACTGCTCTGCCCTTGCCTCAGCTAAAGCAACCTTCAACTCCAAGATCATCCTAGCCAAGGGCAACCCCAGGCTCCTTATATCTACCACAACTCCTCTGTCCAAATTCCCATGCCTTATCCCTCTCCTCCAATTGCAAATGTGAGGAGATGATAGATTTCTTTGAGTCCAAAATCATTCATCTTATCCCATTCAGTTAGGTTCTCTTTCTGAACAACTTGCACTTACATAATGCATTTCATACAGGATGAATATCTGAAATTTTGAATTTGATTCATGTGGAGCTATGCAAGTGCTGTAAGATTATGTGGTTCCAAATTATCATGGGAAAAGATCCTTAATATGCATCTGATATTCCTCCACAAAATATCCTGACAGTTTTGGTTATTAAATATCCTGATTTGCTTGATATAAATGACTTGAACGAGAATGGAATTTATAGACTTTACTGTATTTACTAATTTACTTTCTAATGTAATAATGAGACAATATAAATGCTTCAATTACCTATGCATGCACTGGAATCTTTCACATTTGCTATAAATACACAGTCACTATACATTACAGTAAATCTTGTGAAACGTTTGAGATATGTAGACAGCATGACAAGGGACTGTGTCAAAATGCAAGGATTATCATTATTAATAAATTACTCTTACATATCTCAAATGAACAGATTGCCAATGTGCAGAGACTGAATTGGTTGTAATTAGCAGTAAACAACACAGTTTCCATTTGCAGAACACAAACTGCCTTTACTAAATGTGTGGACTGGGTGTCTGAGATTATTATGGCAGTGCTTTACAGATAAACCCTACAAAATACACAGTCAATCCACTTTACAATATATTCTATGAAATACATTGAGACACCTCAACAATGTTATAAGGCACTATATCAAATGCAAGGATTTTTATTATTATTAAGATGTCAACTCAACCTTTGCTACAGCATGATTTATTCTTTACCTTAAAGTTTCTCTTTCTCACTTTAAACCCATTTTATTTTTTGAAACAGGAGCACTATTAAACAGCCATGTTTTGTAGCACACTCATTTTACTTGTTTTGCAAAGACTGGGAGGTATTAAAGTAATACGACTATATTCAGATTAAATGGCATGTTATAAACAAATTCATTACTTTTAATCTGAACCAGCTCTAAATGATAGAGGCACATTTTGTGTCCAAAAACTCATTACTTTATAACAGTAAATGTAGAATGAGACAAAGCTATTTGCCTTATTCGTGCTTGTAATGTACAATTTACATGTTCATGAATTCTAAACAATTAAAATTCCTGAATGATGAAAAAGCCACAACTAAAGATTCCAAGAATATAATATAAATCTTGACGTAATTGCTTTTGACTTTGCAATCCACACTATTTAATCCACAGAAATTACTTTTTTTCAGATGATAGCACCATTAACCATTGACTCAGCAGCATAGTATATAGTGTGTTGCATCAACATTGTCTATATTCATTCCTCTGACCTTCAATGCTGTCATTTTTTTCTTACTTCCTGAAATCACAAATTCATCTAGGCATAATCTTAATGGTGCCCTCTGGTATTTTGCCCAAGTGCCAATTCTTCACGCGAGCTCAGACAGTGAGGATCAGCAGGATATGTGACAATAGGAAGTTTCCCAGATGATCTTATTGTAGATGATTGATGAGCACTGTGGGACATTGCTGTGCAAAGATTGGTTGTTGCATTTGCAAAACAAACAGTCCCTCCACTTTGTAGTTTTGTCTATAAAGAGCTTGAGCTGTGACCTCGAGCATGAAAGGTTCTACACCAAATGTAAAGATTGTTATTACCTGAATTTTCCAGCAGTGGTCACTTAATAGCAATGGCAACCTGACTGATTTTTCCTGTTCACTTTTAAAGCAACAACAACAACAACAATTTGCATTTATACCTTCATGCCGGATAGTGTTTTGGAGTGTTGACAGCTCCAAGACACTACCCAAGACACAATGCAGTCAGTGGGTCGATTGAGACAACAACTTTCACTTATATAGAGCCCTCAACGCAGGGCAGCATCTCAAAGCTTGTCTGAGACTGTCTTCACTGTATGTCTGAATTCCATTGCACTAAGTGACTGAATAATCCAAGTAGATTTCCAGTCCTGATGTTAATGATATATTCAGAACACAAAGGAAGGCTAACTCACAATATTTCTTGACACCATTCCTTAATAAGGAATCCAAGTCGCACAGATAGGGACTTGTTCTGGTAACCGTAAGTACATCATGCTTACATGTAAGAACTCTGTAGATCCTGCAGGAGATTCTAGTGGAATTCTTTGTAAAGGAATACTGTTAAGATACAATGCAAATTGCTCAATTAATCAAAATAACTCAAAACTTCTTTGACGTGTTTTCAGTCAGCTTTCCCCTCCTATCCACCATGGTTCCCATCCCCTGCCTGCGTGGCCAGCCAGCATTGTCAAGCATTGTTGAGCACTTTGAGTCATCCTCCTGATGTGAAAGGAGCCACATAAATGTAAACTGTATTTTGAATCAGATCTCTTAAAGGAGGTCTTGAATGTATAAAACAAGTCTGTATAACATTTTACTTGGAGTTCTATTTTCTGATTTCATCTGAATAATAAGCCCCTATTTCAAAGTAACACTGTAGTGATGTTATAAAACTAACACTATTAAGTATAACACTAACACAGTATCAGTGGAAGAGGGAATATGTTAAAATCACAGATCACAACATACTAATCATTTCAATTTTATTTTTCTCCAGAATGATTATAAAAAGTTATCCATGCAATGCAAAGACTTTGTTGTTGGACTTCTAGACTTATGTCGGAATACTGAAGAAGTAGAAGCCATTCTGAATGGAAATGTGGAGACCGTTCACGATAGTAACCCTTATCTTCGACCAAGTCTTAGTAAGCTAAAACTGGCCATTAAATATGAGGTCAAAAAGGTAGGGAAGGCACTGTGAAAATATTTCATTTATTCAATGTGTTGTAAGCTACATTTTTCCCCTGTTAAAATTGCTAATATTGTAACCGTATTCTTGATTTGTTTTTTCTTGCAAGCAGAATGATAAGATTTTGGAAAAAAATGGTTCTAATGAACTCAAGCTTAAAGTTGCAAATATGATTGATCTGAAATGTTAAGAGGCTAACTGGCTGCTTGCTTTTGGAATATATCATGGCTTTATCAATTGATACTAAAATTCAATTGCAGTGGCATAAGGACATACTCATCACTACATTAAGATTACTGACATTATTATTATATTGACTCAATGAGCTTGTGATAACCCATCAGATTGCCAGTTTCCTTTGACAGTTTATCAAGTTATTATTAGATAGTCCATCTTGTTACCGACTAAGAAAATAAATGTCTGCTTTAATTTTTTAGGATCAAATCTTGCATCCTAAAGATCACAGTATTACTGCTGTGCACGCAAACATCATTTGCTGATAAACACCAGTAGTTTCTATGAACATAAATCAGTAAAATGTAATAAATTTCACCTCTAAAATTAGAATTTCCTGATCCGTTTTGGGATCCCTGATTGTACATTTGCGAAAACAGAAACTCACCAGGTGGCAATGCTCGTCCTATGAGTACCTGATCTGGTTAATGGGCATATTCATGGTATCTGCATTACAGCCAGATGGGTTTCCAGATGCACGCGCAATACTGGAAGCAACTTACTTACATATTCCCAGGACTGGCATGGTAGCTAGGCAGGTTTCCTGGTAAGTGGATGTTCCAAAATAGAATGCAATTGTCACCGCATGTTCATCTTTTTGTGTCATATGCACTCCTACACCCTCCAATTTTCTCCTAATGTTTGACACAAAAAATACACCCTGAGAAAAATCAAAAAATTCTACTCAAACAACCCACTCTATCTCTAGGAAGCACTGAGATACATTATCCTATGTGAAAGGCACTGGAGAAGTGCAAGTTGACAAACTTGGGGCTGAGAATCATTCAGATCATTATGTTTGTGACTATGTTTGACAATATTTTATAAATGTTGTGGAAGGTTGCTTAAAAAAGACATTGCCACCCCCAACTTTTCCACCTTGTCAAACAATGGGGACAACTGAACCTATCTGCCTTGGTAAGGCCTTGCTAATGGGGAATGTTGCAAAACACAAGTGATTGCAGTGACGTGAGCAATAATATAACTTTAAGGTTTAATGTGTAATTTACTTTATTTGATTGATACATTTAATTAGATTTTTCAAAAAATATATAAGTAGAGAAATGATGAGACCATTATTTTCCATATTGTAGAACAGCCCTGAGTATCTTATTTCCAACCATAATTCATTCATTTGCATTTAGACTGTATTCAAATCCCTTCATGGCCTCGCACCTCCCTATCTATCCGATTTGCTTACCCCCCACTCCACCACCTGCTGCCTTCACTTGGCCGGCTCCAACCTCCTGTTCGTCCCTCATCCCTTCTGCTCCAGCATTAGTGGCTGTGCTTTCAGCCACTTTACCCCGAAGCTCTGGAACTCTCTCCCTCAATCCCTCTGCCTTGTCCCCTCCCTCGCCACTTTTAAATCCCACCTAAAGACCTTCCTTTTTGATTGTACTTACAGTCACTTCCTCCCTCTCTCTCCCCCTGGCTCAGGGTCAGACTACGCCACTATCAAGTGCTCCGGGATGCTACCCCACATGAAGGACTCAATATTAATGCAAGTTGTTGTATTTTTGGTCACCAGTTTAGCGTCTTATTCTGTGTATCTTTATGCTGTAGTCCTTTTCAATATATTATTCATGGTGGTTCCAGTATTTTGCTGTTGCAGTGTATAAAGAAAAATCAATATGTGTGCTAAGCCTGACTGCCTTGGATATTATGTTAAAAATTTGCAACACAGCCTTAATTTCAAACGCAACATTCAAACATTTGGAACTCGACTTCTTAGTCTTGATGAAACCTTTACTGTAGAATGTGCTAATGTTTCCTCTAAAACGAGCTAGCTTCTTTAATGGTACCTATCCCACAAAAATAGTTACTCATCAGCTAAACTGAGTTAACGTCCGAGGATATTGGGAAATTATATGTACAAAAGATTATAGTTTGTTATTGTCTTTCTCTGAATGTAAGTCCTGAGTAAGGAGCTTGAAGAGCTGTAGTGCCAGGCATCCTCGACTGCACAGACTGAACCAATACAAGCAAATGTGGGAGAAATTCCACCTGGAAACAGATATACTTTTGTAAGTAGGATTTTAGAGTGTTCAGAATTTTGCAAATTGCTGAATTCAATCTTAAATTTGAAGGTGTTTTTCTGTTGTTTAGTTCTTATAGAAAATCGACTTCAAAATTAAGGCTGTATTTAGGAATTTGCTAAATTTTCAGTGCCCTGAAATGCTACATAAATGGACTAACTCTAGATCCAGGTGGAATTTCAACCCAGCAGTGACTGATCTGAAAGACATACATATCAATTATGGAATTATGCCATAATATTTCAGGATCCCACTCTTCCCTGGGAGGATTCATGTCCTTTTTGAATTTCAAAACCTAAATTGGAACAGTTTGATGTGCTAAATGTGAGAAAAGTCATCACTGAATGTGTCTCCTCACTGCCTGTGAATGTACTTATAACACAAAGGAGATTGCATTTTTCACTATTTTAGAATGATGGTCACTGATACGCTGACATTAACTTTGAATCCCCAGAGGCACACATACAAGCATTTTTCAGATACATATTGAGCATCAAAGGCCCCACATTTCATCTAGCCTTAGTCTGTGAGACCAAATATCGGATTGTGCAGAATTGTAGGAAATTTTTAAATTGAGGTCTTAATTTAGAAATTGTTTTCCCACATCCTTGAAAAAGAAATGTCTTCTAATTTAAGACAACATTTTAGAATTTTAGACAATTGTCAATAAGTCCTAAATCTTAAGACGAAATGGTTTACAGATCAGGAGTAAACAGAATTTCAGGCCAGTATTAAGTCCACACTTAAAACTGCAGTGTTTTGCAGTGAGGCTTACTGAGTTTCACTGAAGTGCAGAATGGAATGCAAATTGCACTTATAAGTTGTTTAGCTACTGTTTGAGTTCCAACTATTGCTTCATTCTTTGTAATCTTTAAGATTGTATTTTGCAGTAATTTGTTTTTAGTATATCTAACACACTCATAGCAATGCTCTATAATAAAAGGCATCAATATTAAAATTGAATGATAGAAAAGGATGAGCGATGCAGGGAATCTCTGTGACTTCTCCATTGTGTAACTGTGATACAAATGAAAAGTTTCCTCACAACCCAAATGTAAAAAACACACTCAGAAGCACTTTGAGTCAACAAAACAATGCAGACTAATTTAATAACTGCAGAAAACAACATGTAGCTTCATGCTTGCAATGTATAATGCATTATATAGTTCACTCCACAAACTACAGTATATTAAAACTCTATGTTCTTCACCTTACTCAATTTTGAAATTAATGAAAATAAAGTAAGATTTATGGATTACTGAAAAAGTGCAGTTTTAGTCTTCTGAGAACTGTGGTAGAGTTATAGTATTTAATTATTGTGCGTTCAGGATGTTGGCACTAGGGACAAGGTAACCCATCATTTGGTAGCACTTTTTCATCCAAAACTTTAAATCACATCTTAAGTCTAAATATTAAGTCTGTTATGTTTAATATATCTTAAGAAAAAACAATTGCGTTTATTAATAACTTCACTTTTTGCTTCAAAGAGAAATTGAGAAGTTGATCTTGTTCAATGTTTCCAGTATTCAAATTTGTGTATTTGGGGAATTTTCCTTGACTACATAGTAACCAGAAATACTGTATTACTTCCAAGGTACTTACTTAACATACCTGCAATTAACCTCTACTCTATGGTGTTTCTTTCAAGTTTGTAGCTCACCCAAACTGTCAGCAACAGCTTCTGTCTATCTGGTATGAAAATCTCTCAGGATTGCGTCAACAACCAATTGCAGTCAAGTTTCTGGTGGTGCTTGGTGTCGCTATAGGCCTGCCATTCCTGGCCATGTTTTATTGTATTGCGCCCTGCAGCAAGGTCAGTCTTCAGCCTTCACAAATCTCCTCATGTATAACAATAAATATTGCACTTGATACAATGACGTTGTTGAGATGTCTCAAAGCTCTTCGCAGGGTTTTACTGTGTATTTGTAGGCAAATACGGCAGCCGTTTTGCACACAACAATGTCCCACAAACAACTATGAAGTCACATGAACCAGTAACCAGAGTGAAATTCTTTACCCCTTTGGTGATACTGAATTTGGTGGATATTCTGCCTACAGTTTGAACCTTTGTTGGCCCTTCCCCTCGCATTAGTTTTGAATGTTCTGTATCTGAAGGTTTTAAAGGTTTCATGTGAATCTCTGTTCATTTCATCCAACTGCATATTGCCCCAATTTTTTTGAATAAAGTGTTTGATGCCTTTTTAAAATATTTCTTACATAATTGTGCACAAAGACGTATCTAATAACACTTTCTTCCAGTGTCGTAACTCACTGAGGAGAATACTCAGTCATTATCAAGAATGAATGGTGTAGTTAAGAATAATATTATTATTATTTGTTCAAAATAGTCTGATTTTATAGACAAAAATAATAGTGTCTGCAAAATGAGTTTCTGATTTTAAGAAATTGGACTCATTCTTAATGACAAAGTATTATTTATAAAGGCCATGATTATAATAATTCTTGCATTTGATCTAGCCCCTTTCAATTTGGGAAAATATCTCCACGTGATTTACTGTGAAGTTTAGTGACTGTGCATTAAATAGTAACCATGTATCTATGCCAATTTAACACCATACTTAATAAATCTCTATACAGTCATTTCATTAGAATCAATTACCCATATAATAAATTGCTACATCTCTGCTATGCATAAGCATTTGTTATGAACAAAAATATTTCAGCCACAATTTGTAAAAACGTCTATGAAGCTGCATCTTTTGGGGCTCACTGGTTAGAGCACTCGCCTCGCAAGGGAGAGACCTGGTTTGATTCTCGGCAGAGCGAAATGTTGGGCAGGTTTCCATACTGCACATACTGTTTACCTAGAGGTATGTAGGCACCCAGTTAGTCGATTGGTGGATCACTTTTCGGGGATAATAATCCCTCCAAAAAAAATAATAATAATAATTTGGTCACTCAATCCACGACTGTTTGTGGGACACTTCTGTGTGCAATTGGCTGCCGAGTTTTGCCCCCCAAATATATAGTCAATTCACTTTACAGTGTATCCTGAAGACATGATAAGAGACTATATCAAATGCAATGATTATTATTATTATCTAAACCTATTGTGAGATCGATTGTGATATTATCGAGAGCAATTTGAGGTGACCTTCTGCGACCTCTATTTGATGCTGTGATTTTGTTTTGTTAAATAGCTCTGGCAAAAATGAATAACAATTGTGCATGCATTCTGTCAGATCTGTGGATGGTTGGAGATATTGATTTACTTGCTCATTATAGGGTAATGTGCTCAGCATTATACAATCACCTCATTAACATTATCTTACCAGGCATGTTGTACCTTTATTGATTATTCATTAAGTTCCAGGTTCATCTACAAGTTGATTGATTTCCTTCCTGTATAAAATGACAGTTTAGCTCAAAGCTGCAGAGCAACAACAACAGAGTAAAGGTTACCTTTCCCATCAACCAAATTACTTAGGATATGCACCATATTTAGATTTTCAGGACTACCAATAGAGAGTGGCAATATAGTGCAGGAAGGCTATGTGAACTGGTTGTTGTTGCTTATCCAGTGACAAAGCAGTTCTGAGAACATTTTGAATTTCATTTCACAGATATATTATAAATTATTTCCAGGGCTAAATTATTGCTTGTCTGTAATATTATGTTAGATATAAACTTTCTTTCTTCTTTCTTCTCCCTTCCTTCCTTCCTTCCTTCCTTCCTTCCTTCCTTCCTTCCTTCCTTCCTTCCTTCCTTCTCCCTTCCTTCCTTCTCCTTTCCTTCCTTCTCCCTTCCTTCCTTCTCCCTTCCTTCCTTCTCCCTTCCTTCCTTCTCCCTTCCTTCCTTCCTTCCTTCCTTCCTTCCTTCCTTCCTTCCTTCCTTTCTTTCTTTCTTTCTTTCTTCCTTTCTTTCTTTCTTTCTTTCTTTCTTTCTTTCTTCCTTTCTTTCTTCCTTTATTGTTATTATTATTGTTATCCCCTTATTATTGTTATCATCTGAACTTTGTAATTATTCTTCCCATTGTATACTCATATTACCCTAGCTACTCTGCAGGGTATTACTGCAACTGCAGGGCTAAGTAGTATGCGGCTTCATGCAGTTTGATCTATCAGTCCAAACCCCACAGGTGCTAAGACGCAGTTATGTTTTCACATTTCTCAAATATCACAGATCTGGAAAAAAAACTAATTATACTTTTTTTTAAATGAGCAACTAAACCTCATATTAGTCATGCATCTTCCTTCACCTCCAACTCACAGCTGTGCTTGATACTACTGTCTACCAAGATGGCGTCCTGTGTTCTCTGAACAACATTACTGATGTTATGATTTCATGACCACTGCTACGGTCATAGGAATTCCTGATATGCGTCTGACATGCATCTTTGAAACAAATTAACACAGCAGTGTTAGTGGCATGGCATTTCTCTGGGTAGGAGTCTTAGCGACAGTCTCAGCCTCAAGTCAACATTTTCTATTTCCTGCTGCAGGTGTTCCAGCCAACTGCTACAAAATGAAATACTCAGTTGACTATATTCAAATTTTGACAGTAACGGGCCCTACTTAGTATAACTTCTAAACATTCTTATTTATCTGTGACACTCACAGGTAGGTGAATGCAACTGAAAGAATTGTTCTTGAAAGAGCTAGCACAGACACGATAGGCTAAATGGCCTTCTTCTGTGCTGCAAAAATTTCTGTTTTTTTTGAGTTTTCATTCTCATAATCTCAATTCATATCAATAATAGAATTTGTGAGTTTGTCTCAATTTAAACCCGAATTGGATGGAAGTCCTGAACTGCTACTGTTTCCAAAGTAAACCCATTGGAACATCAGACAGAGAAGACCTACAGATAAAACCATGAATATAAAAAAATACAATAAAGAATAAATAAAATCAGCAAAGCATCAGGAAATTCTTACTGAGATGAAATATTGCATTAACAGCTTCTGTTAGAAACAAGCCCAGTGAGAAGGGTATCATTTAGATGCTGCAGGTCAATCAAAGAAATGATGTTGAGAAGAGACTGAGTAGGAGACAATGGAAAAGGTTCAGCACACATTACAAGGGAAAGGACTAACTGAAAAAAGAGTTCAGTAGCAGGTACAGTAGGAAAGATTCCTGAAAGTATTTAACGGTTTAACAAACCTAGAACACAGAACGCTGCTCATTGATGTGAGTTCTTTGAAGTGCTCTGAGATCCTACCCATGAAGGGCACTGTATAAGTGACAATTGCTGTTATTCTTCTTTATAGTTCCAAAGAAGGTGAAATTATAAAGCACTGAAGGTCTTTATTTTGGAATTTCCAGATTTATTCAGTCGGTATCTTCCAATTTGTTTCTAAGACACAGATTCTTATTGAAGAGCTTGACAAATCTGCTGATATCAAAGTGTTGATAAATGCTTCCTGTTATTTTACAGCTGGGAAAGATCATGCGAGCACCATTTATGAAATTTGTAGCACATGGAGCTTCGTTCACTGTTTTTCTTGGACTGCTGGTTATGAATGCAGCTGACAGATTTGATGGTACAAAACTGCTGCCAAATGAATCGGTTACAGATCACCCCCGGCAACTCTTCCGAATGAAAACAAGCTGCTTCACATGGATGGAACTGCTCATTATTTCCTGGGTAATAGGTAGGAATCCATATTCATTTCATGGTCTCAGAACCTGATGTGTCGAAAATCAATGATAAGACTGTAAGCCAAGCTGAAGAGCCCGAGATCAACAATGCAATTACCTTCAGGAAAGGATGAGAAACCTATTCAGACAAGTAATCCTAACACATGAAAATGTTCAAGGGCATTCTATTACTCTTACCAATGCATACAATTTTTCCTTAAAGAAAGTTACGTTAGGTGTACGGATAATACAGCATAAGAATAATACAGTATGCACTTTTGGTTTCAGTTTTTTCTAACTTTATGGCCATAGAAGCAGGCTTTCACGTATTTTATAGGCAGCACATGTAATGCAAGAGGAACATTCAATTCTATTATTAAGGACTATTGGTGTGTTTTGCCGTTGTGTGCTACCAAACTGGTACTAATTCTACATTAAGTCTGGTTGGTGTTAACAAAGCTGTCAAGCGAAAGAGTGGATGACTCCTTCTTCTGTTAAGATCCAAAGGAAGGGGACATATATTTACAGCTGAAACAGTTAGAAGTGAAATCAGAAAACATTTAATTTCCCAAAGAGTTGTAAGAATATGGGATATGCTGTCTCACAGGACTGTAGATTCAGAACCAATTGGGACATTTCAAAGGGAGACCAATAGATATTTAGAAAGTAAGGTTTAGAAGGAACTTCTTTACATAGAGGGTGGTGAGAATGTGGAACTGAGAGTTGTGGCTGTGGTTGAAGCTGAAAGCATTAATATGTTTAAAATGATACTCAATGCATATGTGAGTGAGCAAGGGATTAGAGGGGTATGGATGGAGGCTAATGACGTGATAAGGCGCTATATCAAATGCAAGGATTATTATTATAATTATTATTAACATTGGACAATTTAACTATGGCCAATTTGACTGAAGTTTTACAAAGTTCATAAAAATGTACTTTTCAGTAGATTTTCTTCCAAAAGCTGTTTGTCATGGTGTAGTGCTGAGTGCAGTTTATTTGTGACCTGTGGTAAAGGTATTGATTGTGCTCCACTCCACAATGGCTCCCTAAGAAAGCAAATTGGATTCAACAACTGAAGCTGACCATTCACTGCATCATTCTCAATTCAGTGTGAACAGTCATGGCATGTTCCTTCTCTCAAGTGACAAATTGTTCTTTGGATTGCTGGGTCAGCATGACAGCAACGGACTAAATGTAATTTCAACTAATTCACAGCCTTTGTAAAAAGGAAATTGTACAGGCAGTATTATGTGTAGCCCTCAGACTGTCTTTGTTACCTCCTGCCTCGACTACTCTGATGCTCTCCTCACCAGTATCCCCAGCTTCACCACCCACAAACTACAACTCCACCGCTCATATTCTCACCCACACTATACTCTGTACCCCCATCACACCAGTCCTCGCCACCACTGGCTCCCTATCACGGAATGGATCGATTTCAAGGTCCTCTCACTCGTCTACAAATCCCTTCACACACTGGCACCTCCTTATTTTTATGAGCTGCTTTCTCCCTACTCCACTACCTGCTGTTTGGTCAGCTGAGTGTCTGCCACATGCGAAACACATCACTATACTTAGGAGTACCTAAACAACAACAACAACAACAACAAGATTCCATTTATAAAGCGCCTTTCACGTCAGGAGGACGTCCCAAGGCGCTGCACAGTTGGGTCATGACCCGAGCAGGGGGGAAATGGTCAGGGTGAGGGGAGGGAAGGGAGGGAGCGAGGAGGGGGGAAATGGTCAGGGTGAGGGAAGGGAGGGAGCAAGGAGGGGGAAATGGTCAGGGTGAGGGGAGGGAAGGGAGGGAGCGAGGAGGGGGAAGAGAGTCGAGAGGGGAGCTGAAGGCACGGTCAAAGAGAACCAGACTGAAAGTTCCATATGTATGTTACCTACTCATGGAGATTTCCATGTCTGTAATTCTCTTTCTGGAGGAACCCATCCTGCTTATTGCAGTATTCAGGAAAGTGTTCGGCTAAGGGTGGCACGAGTCAATGTTTGGGAATCCCAGAGTGTGTGTTGGCTGACTGGTTTGTCAATAACAGTGCCACTGGAGTGGACGCACCTGGTTCAAGAACATGACCACCAAAACTGCTACAGAGGATAAGTTAATTCTGATATTCCATTACCAAATCAGTCACCTTGGAGCCAAATCAGCCCGAACGAAACTGCACTTCAAGAAATATAATCACGCATTGATCATTAGATATCAGATGTATGCAGGTTTCAGTCCTTACTAGGTGGATAGCAGGCACCAGGAACTCCATGCCAGCACCACAGCACAGCTCAGCATAATAGTAATAGTCAATGACAGGCAGTGCGTCTGAGCTATGACCAGGAAGAGGTGGTATTGCTCTCTGGCATTTCATAAGTTTGCAAGCTATGGGGAGATTGATTTGGATAGCTCTTTTCAAAGAGCTGGCACAGACACGATGGGCCGAATGGCCTCCATCTGTGCTGTAAAATTCAATGATTCTATGAATAGTTCCACTGGTGGGGCAGAGCTTCAGCAACAGATGCTGCTTCCCTCTCTTCATACCAAACAATGTAGATATCAAAACCCTGGTAAACAAGCATGTGTGCACTAACCCAGATTCTCAAGCCTCAGAGTTACCTTGATCATCTATTCCAGAGTGGTGGGAGGACCCTTACATGACAACATGATGTGCTCACCACTGTGATGTTCTAGAGGTCCAATACCATGTACCAGGTTTACCCAACACTAAAAGCTTAATCCAGATCCAGGAGCTTTGGCAGGTAGACATACCTATCGTGAAGCTGACTCTACCTTCGGGGTGCTGAGTGACAGATCATTCGTTCTCCCTGCAACTGCTTCCTGTTTTTATCACAAATTAATCTTATTCCTCGATGCTGGACTTTGCAATTGGGCCAAAGGAGACCTTTCCATTGCATGTCCACAACCTTGGAATCATAAAAGCAGACTGCTTGGAGATGTGACTTATAAGTCATACATTTATCCACATTCAAACTTTTTCTATCATTGAAGAGAGACAAGATGATGTGCTGATTTTGTAATGAACAGAGGCTTCAGTACTGCTATATTGCTGTGGATGGTGCTGTAGGTTAACTGGAGATTGCTGTGGCCAGCAACACAATCTACGGGAAATTGATGGATGTGCAGCACATTTTAAAATGTAATTAATCGCTTTTAATTTATTTAAATTTCCAAAATGTTAAACATAATTCTTATGAAAGTGAAGGGCTCTGGAGTATTGTGAAATGAAAGCACTCTCAGACAAATGAGTACATTAACAGCTTTACTCAGGCAATGAGGAAGCATCCAGTTCATGCACCAGCTGATTGCTGGATCTTTCACAAGTTTGATTAAGATGAAGAAGTACGTCAGCCCATCTGATCTCATCCTTCCAGATTAAATTACGTTCCAAACAACACGGTATCAAGGTTTTTTTTTGAATGGGTCCAGTGTCCTGGCCTCAACTTCCCATCATGGTAACAAGTTCCAATTGTTACACCCTGGGTAAATAAATATTTCATGTTGTCTGTCCTGAAGTCTATCTTAATTATTAAAATTGAGCTGATTTCAGGTAAACTGCTTATTTGGTACTTTTATACACAGTATAGTTTTAGAAACCAGCAAAAAAGCCCTAAAAAACTCATTAAGAGCGAGAAAAAGAAGTATGAGGGCAAGCTAGCTAGGAACATTAAGTCTGATTGTAGAAGTTTTTACAAATATATTAAGAGGAATAGGCGAGTGAGGATAAATGTAGGTCCACTTCAGTCAGAGACGGGAGAAGTTGCAATGGGGGATAAGGACATAGCAGAGTCCCTAAATGGGTACTTTGCATCTGTTTTCACCCTAGAAGATACAACAAGTCTGTCAACAATAGAGATGCACCAAAGGGATAAGGACAGGGAGCAACTTAGGGAAATTTTCATTAGTAGAGAATTGGTGCTAGGGAAACTGTTAGCACTAAAAAGTAACAAATCCCCTGGTCTGGATGGCCTGCATCCCAGGATTTTAAAAGAGGTAGCTTATGATATAGTGGAGGCCTTATGTCTGATCTTCCGAAATTCCTTGGATTCTGGAACAGTCCCCATGGATTGGAAGATCGCAAATGTCACACCACTATTTAAAAAAGGTGGAAAGGAAAAGATGAGGAACTAAAGACCAGTTGGTCTCACATCAGTGATAGGAAAAATTTTAGAATCGTTGATTAAGGATGTGGTAGTGTGGTATTTAGGGGAGCACAATATAATTAGGCCAAGTCAACATGGCTTTACAAAAGGGAAGTCATGTTTGACAAATCTCATAGAGTTTTTTGAGGATATTTCCAGTAAACTAGATAAGGGTGAATCAGTGGATGTGGTCTATTTGGACTTCCAGAAGGCATTCGATAAGGTGCCGCATAAAAGGTTAGTCCAAAAGATAAGGGCCCATGGAATTGGGGGAGCATATTAACATGGATTGGGGAATGGTTAACGGGTAGGAAACAAAGAGTAGGGATAAACGGGTCCTTTTCAGATTGCAGGGATGTGACAAGTGGAGTGCCACAAGGATCAGTCCTTGGGTCTCAGCTATTTAAAATCTACATCAACGGTCTAGACAAGTTAATATATCTCAATTCGCAGATGACACAAAACTAGGAGAAAGTGTCAACACAGAGGATGACATTAAAAAAATGCAGCGAGACATAGATAGGTTAGGTGATTGGGCAGGTAGGTGGCAGATGAAGTATAATGTAGGGAAGTGCGAAGTCATCCACCAAGGTAGCAAAAACAGTAGAGCGGGTTATTTTTTAGAAGGGGAGAGATTGGAATGTGTTAGCGTCCAGAGGGACTTGGGTGTCCTTGTACACCAATCACAGAAAGTTAGTCTGCAGGGGCAGCAGCAATTAGGAAGGCGAACGGTATGTTAGCATTCATTATGAAAGGATTAGAGTGTAAGAGTAGGGAAGTCTTGCTGCAACTGTATAGGGCCCTGGTGAGACCACACCTGGAATACTGTGTCCAGTGTGGTCTCCTTATTTAAGGAAGTATGTACTTGCCTTGGAGGGGGTGCAGCATAGATTTACTAGAGTTACGAGGATAGGCTGATCAATTTGGGCCTATATTCTCTAGAATATAGAAGAATTAGAGGGGATCTTATAGAAACCTGTAAGATTATCAAAGAGCATGATAGAGTAGATAGTGGGAGATTGTTTCCCCTGGTTGGAGAAACTAAAACCAGGGGTCACAACCTTAAAATCAGAGACCAGCCCTTTCGCACTGAGTTGAGGAAGAACTTCTTCACTCAAAGGGTGGTGAATGTATGGGACTCACTACCCCAAAGGGCTGTTGACGCTCAGTCCTTGGTCATATTCAAGACTGAGATAGATAGATTTCTTATTGCAAAAGGGATTAAGGGATATAGGGATAAGGCAGGGTCAGGCTATTAGCTGGAGTTAGATTAGAAGATCAGCCATGATTGAATGGCGGGACAGGCTGCTCTTACATGTTATGTTATGGTAATGGTCCATGTGGTGATAATAATAATAATAATCCTTACATTTGATGTAGCAGCTTTCATGTCCAGAGCACTTCTAAGGAATTACTGTAAAATGTAGTAATAAACTGTGTACTTGCAGGCGAATGTAGCCGCCAATTTGCACATCGTATTGTCCCACAAACAGCTATGAAGTGACTGACCGATTTTTATTTGAGGGAGAGGGTTGTTGGCGATGTCATCTGCAGACACGGGGTAAACTTCCACATGTATGCAGATGATACACAAATCTACTTTGCCTCCTCCAGTACCGACTCCAGGTCCGCTCATGTTCTATCAGACATCAGGGCCTGGATGAGTGTAAACCTCCTGCAGCTGAATGTTGATCAGTTGAAAGCCATACACTTTGGCTCCCGTCAACGTCTTCACTCCTGCGGATCTAAACTCCTCAACTTCCCTGGGCTCTCCCTCAGACTCACCGAACCAATGCGCAATCTAGGCACTGGTTTGATCCCTAGCTGTCCTTCCTCTCCCACATCCAGACCCTGACTAGGACCGCCTTCCTCCACTTCCGCCACATTGCCCGCCTCCGACCATACCTTACCCTAAATGCAGCCGAAACCCTCGTGCATGCATTTGTCAACTCCCGCCTGGATTATTCCAACTCGCTCCTCACTGGTCTCCCCAGCTCCACTATTCAAAAAATCCAGCGCATTCAGAACTCTGCCGCTCACATACTTACCCGGACCAAACTCTGTACCCCCATCTCACCAGTTCTGGCCAGGCTTCACTGGCTCCCCATCACCGAACGGATCGACTTCAAGATCGTTCACTCGTTTAAATCCATTCACTCCCTGACACCTCCCTACTTCTCCGACCTCCTCACTCCCCAATCCACCACCCGGCGCCTCCGATCGACGGGCACCGTCCTCCTGCTTTGTCCCTCAAACTCTCCGCCCCACTCCACCACTTTCAGCCACTATGCCCCGAAACTTTGGAACACTCTTCCTCAATCCCTCCGCCTTGCCCCCTCTCTCCCCCTTTTCAAGTCCCACCTTAAAACCTTCCTTTTCGACCGTACTTACGGTCATCTTCCCCCATCTGCTGGCTCGGAATCAGGCTCCGCCATTGTTAAGTGCTCTGAGATGCTGCTCTGCGTGGAGGGCGCTATATAAGTGCAAATTGTTGTTGGCCAGAAATTCCCTACTCTTTACGAATAGTGTCATGGGATCTTGAACGTCCAACTGAAGATACAGATGGACCTCAGTTTAATATCTAATCTCAAATACGGCACCTTCAACAATGCAGCGCTCCCTCAGTACTGTATTGGAGTGTCAGCATTGTCTATGTGAATTCAAAGCCCCAATGTTGGACTTGAACTTGCAACCTTTTGACTCAGAGGTGACTATGTTACCAGAGCCAGTAACTGAGCTAGGCTCATTGTGTTTATTATTGAAAACCTTGATAAAAAGAATAATAATTTGGTCACTCAATCCACGACTGTTTGTGGGACACTGCTGTGCGCAATTGGCTGCTGGGTTTTCCCCACAAAATAAACAGTTAATTCACTTTACAGTATATTCTGGGAAGCGCTTTAAGACATCTCGAAGACGAGATAAGGCGCTATATAAATGCAAGGATTATTACTATAGTATTATTATATTTATCTGAAAATGACTTCTAAGCAGATGCCATTGGTTTTGGAATCTTTCAAAACCTAACCCTCATAAACCATCAATTTCCCTGTGGTAGAGTTTTGACACCCAAAAAATAAACCCTTTTACTTAAAACTCACTGGGATTTAGACCTTTTTGACTTTTGTTAGAATTACTCAAATGGCAGTTAAGGGAGTGGCATGTGACAGATGTTATTTTTCTAGTTAGAAAGAAAGAATATGAATTTGTGTTCATGGCCTATCACAATGATAACATTGCTGAGTATTATTGTCATGTGATATTTCATGTATGTACAGGATTGCATTTGTGCTGCCGAATTTGTAATTGATACCCCCTCACTGGTGAAAATAACCTCAGGTTGTTAGACTCTTACAGACACGAATATCTATCAATGTGAATTCATGATTTTAGTTGTCTTAATATATGCGGAGTTAAAAAAAATCAAAATATTTTTTAAAAAGTTGGTAAAATTGCTTGCTAGTTTTCGACTGGTTATTTTCTGTGTTTTGTTCTTTGTGTGAATATTTGATAGTCTTCTTCCATTTGGAGCATAAAGCAGTCATTAGCAATGATGTATATAATAATAATAATCCTTGCATTTGATATAGCGCTTTTCATGTCTTCTAGACGTCTCAAAGCGCTTCACAGAATATATTGTAAAGTGAATTGACTGCATATTTGTGGGCGAAACTTGGCAGCCAATTGCGCGCAGCAGTGTCACACAAACAGTCATGGATTGAAGTGACCAAATTATTATTTTTTTTTGTTGAGGGATTATTATCAGGCATGTGGAGTAAGGAAACTTGCCCAAGGTTTTGTCCTGCCGGGAATCGAACACAGATCTCTCACTTGCAAGGCGAGTGCTCTAACCACTGAACTACAGGACTCCACAATATGTATATATGAGGTGCACAGTGTTCTGTCAACTCCAACTGACTTTTCTCCAAATTAATCACTGCAATGTACAAATGGGGAAGAATTAATCTACTTTCATTTTCCCCCTTTTTTGTGTTTCCACAGGGATGATATGGTCAGAGTGCAAAGAAATATGGTCCCAAGGTCCCAGAGAATACTTAGTAGAACTATGGAACTTATTGGATTTTGGAATGCTCGCCATCTTCGTAGCATCATTTGTAGCACGATTTATGGCATATTGGCATGCCTCCAAGGCTCAGAGTTTTGTGGATGAAAAAATCAAAATGGATTTAGTTAATGCAACTCTTTCAACAGAAATAGAGTACTACACCTTTGGTTAGTTGATATATTATGTTATCAGTCGTTATTATGCTGATCAATTTGTCTACTATATATCTCTCTTTATATATCAGTACACTCTTTTACGAAAACTAGGAGTCAAGTGAGAAATAAGAATTAATAATAATAATAAAAAAAAATTGCTGGAAACACTCAGAGGTCAGGCAGCATCTATGGAGAGAGGTATGCAAGTTAACATTTCTGGTCGATGACCTTTCGTCAGAACTGTATACAGAATTAATTATTGTTTCTCCCAATGCTTAATAAAAACACACTCTCCAGTTAGTCAGTTAAGGTATTCAAAGATTAACTGACCGCTACTCAGTAAAAGCAGAAATTTCTATAAGTAAACTCCTGATTACTTGTCACTCAAGGGAAAAGGGCTCAGTGACTAGTTATCCAGAGTGGCGATTCAGCCATATGTATGAATACATAAATAAATATGGTCGGGATATTGACAGCATGATGATTTATGTGGTAGTGATAAATTAAGCCAGGGTCAAGTTATCAGGAGTTTATTGTAGATTGCAGCAATACTAGTATAATACACAAAATAAATTTACATTTACAAAGTTTTACAAAGAATGTACAGCACAGACACAGGTCACTTGGCCCAACCAGTCCTGAGTGTATTACAGTATTTTATGTAATATTTAACTTGGAATGTAATAATGCGGATGCTGTTCGTTCATCTCTGGGTTGAGCTGAGACCTGAGCAGGAAGACAGGAAAAAGAAACAAGTGTAAAAGAGTAAATAGAGGCTTACCCTTAAAAGGTGCTTTTACAGAAAGTGGTTCACAACATGCTGCGATACACGCTTACTATGACACTATAAAAAGTGTGTGTGACAGCAAATTGTGAATTGCCTTTATAATGAATTGAGATGTATTACTTCAATCATTATTATTTATTATATTCATAATTCTTATTTATTAATATTATTTAAATTATTATTGATTATTAGATGTCCCGGAGCCTTGGGATGTGCTGACATAAAATATGCTGTATAAATTTGTATTGTATTGTAGACTTAATGATTTGTATTTCGAATATTTCTTTCAGCTCGAATAAAGTGGCTTCCATCTGATCCCCAAATTATATCAGAAGGCCTCTATGCAATAGCAGTTGTATTAAGTTTTTCCAGAATTGCCTACATCCTTCCAGCCAATGAAAGCTTTGGACCTTTACAAATATCCCTGGGAAGAACTGTGAAAGATATATTCAAGTTCATGGTCATATTCATCATGGTTTTTGTGGCCTTCATGCTTGGAATGTTTAATTTATATTCCTACTACCTTGGAGCAAAGCAGAATGATGCCTTTACAACGTAAGTGCTGGCATGGATTTTATGCTTTTATTGTTTTTGTGTTTGCATCTTGATGTTATACAATGTCTGCCCAAATCTATGAAAGTTGTTCAATATGTAAGTCTATTCAATGTTAAACCGAGGTCCCATCTGCCTGTTCAGGTGGATGTTAGAGGACCAATGGCATTATTCAAAAAGAGAAGGGTGTTTCTCTCTCCTGGTGGTCTGACCAACAATCCCCCAAATAAAAACAAAATTGGTTACTCACTCCAAGGCTGTTTGTGGGACAATGCTGTGTGCAACTGTCTGCCATATTTCGCCTACAAAATACACAGTCAATCCACTTTACAGTATATCCCATGGAGTCCTATAGCTCAGTGGTAAGAGCATTTGCCTCGCAAGTGAGAGATCCGGGTTTGATTCCCGTCATGACGAAATGTAGGGCAGGTTTCCTTACACACCTTTGTTTACCTAGCAGTAAGTAGGAACCCGTTAGTTAGTCGATTGGTGGATCACTTTTCTGGGGGTAATAATTTCTTCAAGATAAATAATAATAATTTGGACACTCAATCCACGATTGTTTGTGGGACACCACTGTGTGCAATTGTCTGCCGCATTTCTACAGTCAATTCACTTTACAGTATATTCTGTGAAGCGCTGTGAGATGTTTCGAAGACATAATAACAACAACAACAGCAAGATTACAATTGTATAGCGCCTTTCATGTCTCGAGGACATCCTAAGGCGCTATATCAAATGCAAGGATTATTAAATTATTATTATTATAAATCTGTACTGTTCATGAAAATCCCAGTTACAATTTTCAGGTTTAAGGGCCTAGATTGAGCTCCCCTTTTGTATTCAGGTTTTATTGATTTGTAAAAAGGACACTTTTTAAAAAATCATTTCCTCAAAACAAATGTTGGAAGAAGAGAATAACCTGCCTTTGCTTAGAGTGAGGAAGATGGCCAAATTTTATTCTAGAGAATTTTAAATTTATTGGGGAGAAATGTGTGGAGTTTTATAACAAATTTGGCATCACAATACATCTGGTACAAGACAATAAATTTTTCACCCCATCGATACATAAGATTTTAGCTGGCTTTGCCTTCTCAACTATTTATTGATAAAACTGTATAGACTTTAACAATCTGACAATAAATAAATTCACTGATAATCAGTCACAGTTTCAGTAATGAGTAAGATAGACTTGTAAAATTGGCACTTTACAACATACACGCTGGCATGGTAGGTCTTAGCAGATGATAAATTATAGTACTGTATATCCAGGATAAAACTTGTCAATTCATTCAAATCTTGGTGTGTTACTTTATTGCCTATTGTGTAAATTACACCCCACCTTCTTAGACTTCAAAATATACTTCTGAGAGCACAGAAAGGAATTTGTTGATTTAATAGTTCGCCACTCAATGCTCTAGAATCTAAGTTACTAACATGAATTGTGGAAATCATCTCTTTCCGCACTAATGATATGCATCTCAAGTATGATAGATGTGTAAATGTGTGTGATATGTACTCTGCCTGCAGACATAGAGTGATATAGCACTGAAACAGACTATTAAACCCAAACATGAATTCACATAACAAATTAACAAATCATAATTCAGATCGCTCTATTTGGAGTTGATTTCTTAGCATCCCTGCTAAGATACAGTATAAAACTTTAACGGATGTATGCTTTACCCACATGATATATTATAGATATCTATACATATACCACTTCTTGTCGGGTTAAAATATCTCTAATAAATTCACTCATCATGTATTTGTCTATGGAATAGGGTATTGATAGAGCGCAGTGTAGCTGTGATATGAAAGGGAGACTAGAAGAATTTCATGGCCTGTCGACAGTATTATATATGTATCCTTTATTCATTGCTCTCGGTTGGTAGAAAGATGAGGAAATATTATTCATAAGCTTCCAATTCATCTGAAATATACAACTTTTATTGATGTTACACCAAATTGACTTTTAGATTATGAATATATCTGTTGTTTTTATTATACATTAGATGTCAAGCAGAAGAAATATGTATTTTGATTGGTTTTATGGCACACTCTAAAGCATTCTGAAAAAGCAATTTACTGACAGGGCGATGAAGGATGGCTTGACTTAAAGAACCATAAGTGGCACAGCAAATGTCTATAATGATTGTTCAAGGGTATTTTTTGATTCAGTAATGACTCATTAATTTCTGCTTGTCGTTAAACTAGAAGTAACTTTGTGAAATTCTGTTTAACTTTTCAAAGCCTTGCTGCCATTTTTAGATTATCTAAAGCCTGAATTCATTATCAATGGCAACTGAACCCTGTTTTAATTCCATATTGTTAAATAAGCACAGTTCTGAAATTCTAAGGCAGACCAAATCACTGAGGTTTATCACATGTTATTAACTCATAAAAATACTTTCCATCACAGTTTTGCATTACGAGATGTCATTCTGATATTGTCATGAAAAAAAAGTTATTATTTATAGAAATATTAATCCCAGCATTTTATATGACACCTTTCAATTCAGATGTATGTCTCAAAGTGAGTCACAGAATGTACCATAGAGTGTAAATGACTGTATTTTGTAAATTAATGTAGCAGCCAATTTACGCACAGTGAAGTCCCCCAAACAGCCATACAGTGAGTTCCCAAATTTTATCCAGAGGATTGTTGGCAGGACACTGGGATAACCTCCATTCTCTTTTGAATAGTGCCATGGGATCTTTAACTTCCATCTTGTCCTGCAGGACTAAGGGGAGTGGGATTGATTTAGATAGCTGTTTTCAAAGAGCTGGTACAGACACGATGGGCTGAATCACCTCCTCCTGTGCTGTATAATTCTATGATTATATGATTAATCTGACAAAATGGGACCTTGGTTTATCATCTTGTCTGAAGGATGGTATCTCCAGAATGGTAGAAGAGAATGGAATGAAACATTTTCCCAGCACTGTATTGGAGTGTCAGTCTCGACTTTGTGATTCCAAAGTCTTAAAGTGGAGCTTGACCCCACAGCTTGCTGATTCGGAGGCGAGAGTGCTAGTGCTACTGACTGAACCAAGCTGATCTATATATATATATATTATGTTATTAATGTATTGCACAGATTTCCACTAGTCCATCAATTCTTCCTACTTCATTGGTAGAATAAGATGAGAACTGTTTTGAAAAGAATGTCAGACATAATGGGATGGTGATTGATGTGTCAACCTCTGATCTGAGGAATCCTTTGAAGTATCCACTGATGAGTAATGGTGTAAATAAGGAAAATGTAAATTGGAACATTTTACCTCAAAAGAATTCTTACATAGAGTTACAGCAGAGTGTTTCTCATTCATTGGCTCAAACAGTGTTATCATTCTGCCAATGATCAGAACTTTTCTGATGGGGCATCTGCACCTTTGTTCTTGTTTTGCAACAGTTTATTACAAACCAATTTTTCCGGTTTGCCAAATCGTAAAGCACCAGTGCAGCCTTCTGTACCATATCTGATATAGGGACTGGGACATTTTGGGTAATGCTGCTATGATTATTTTAATTTTCAGTTAGTGTAGCTGATAACATTTATATATATATACAGTAAAACTGACATTAGTCGTATCACTACATTTAATGTGATTTAATCCAAGCCTTGCAGGCAAACTGTATAAATCATAGAAAATCCAATTTAATCAATAATCTGCACTAATCTCACAAAATTCAATGCAGCCAGTAATTTTGCATGTGATAGTTTACCACTGCAGCCAGTAATTGCACCAGCAATGACGGGTCACATACTGGCAAGTGTTGGAATCACATTGAATTGCGTGAAATGAAGTTCTTCAGATCAAGAATATGTTTCCCACGATTCAATGCAACCGGTAAGTGCAGGAGTTATAATAATAATAATCTTTGCATTTGATATAGTGCTTCATCACGTCTTCGAGACGTCTCAAAGCACTTCACAAAATATACTGTAAAGTGAATTGACTGTGTATTTTGTGGACGCAGCCAATTGCGCAAAACAGTGTCCCATAAACAATTGTGGATTGAAGTGACCAATTTATTATTATTATTTAATGGAGGATGGGGAGTGGTGTTATGAGTTAAGAGGTGATTAATACGACTAGTGCAAGGAAATCTATGTGGTTTTGATAAGAAATTGAATGGGACTCGGGTGAATGTACAACTTCGGCGATTTTAAGATTTATAAAGATAAGACTTCTGCAAGTTTTACTGTATATAAAGTGTAAATGACCAGTTTTACTCTGGGTGCCATATTTAGTCTCATGCTGCCTTGATACCTAAGGCAGTTACTCCAACTTCACTGGCAATCAGTTCTCGAGTTAGTGTCTGGATCAGGGTTGTGATGAGGTCTGAATGGTTCTGCTGGAACAACAAACCAAATGGCCACGAGCAGGTGCCTCTTGAAGGCTTTATTACTGAAAACAGTACTTTAGGATGGACCAAGACAGTAGAATAAGAAAGCATAGGTTTAGAGTTCAAAGAACAATTTCAGGACGGACACAAGGAGGTTTATCCAGAAGGTAAACAATGACTGAAACTCTTTGCGAGGAAGGGTGGTTGACATCAGGACACTGGAGCAGGCATTGGAAATCTCCTCACATTTATCACTATCACAGTCTTAGTGGCTGCACCCCTCCAGACAAGAAACTTTGTCCGTTTGTGCCCTCTACAGGTGTTTTAATATACTACAGTAAAAAATAAGTAAATGTTCAAACATAACAGATCAAGCCATAATAATAATAATTCTTACATTTGATATAGCCTTTTATCATGTCTTCGAGACGTCTCAAAGCACTTCACAGAATATACTGTAAAGCAAATTTACTGTATATTTTGTGGGCGAAAGCCATGACTGATCATGTTTAGAATAAAACAATATTATTTCTGTAGTATTCTCCACATCTCCAGCGTAAAATGCCAATTCATTAGAGGCTGTGCTGTGTTGTATTTATACTTGCTGCACATTCAATGTTGTTTTTCAATAATAAAAATAACTATTAATTTTTGCCTTTTTTTCCCCTAGTGTTGAAGAGAGCTTTAAAACCTTGTTTTGGGCTATATTTGGTTTATCGGAAGTCAAGTCAGTGGTCATCAATTATGGTCACAAGTTTATTGAGAACATCGGTTATGTTTTGTATGGTGTGTACAATGTGACCATGGTCATCGTTCTTCTGAACATGCTGATTGCGATGATTAACAGCTCTTATCAGGAGATTGAGGTGATGTTCTTTTCAAAATTGCTTTCATAGAATTCTGTTATTACAAAATATCACAGTCACAACACTTTACGGTAAATCCTGAGAAAGATTCCAACCCTCAGCTTCAGGCCAGTTCAGGTCCTGGACAGCAGTGTCAAGAATATGGGATTTCTTCCTGATGTGAAAAGTTCTACATAAATGTAAATTTGTATTCCACTGTAGCACTTTGAGAAGTCCTCATGATGTGAAAAGCACTATGCCAAATGTAAGGATTATTCTTGTTGTTATTAACAATCAAGCACTCCAGGATACTACCCCACTTGAAGGGCGCTATATAAATGCAAGTTATTGTTATTGTTGTAAAAGCAAATCTACTTTTTCTATCACTGTGGCTATTGTCTGGCACTACAGATTCAGGGTACAAATAATAGGCTCTAATGTCCAGTAATTTCTCAACAACATTCCTGGTTAAGAAATTTGATTTATAATAGTCATAATAATAATTCTTACATTTGACATAATGCCTTTCACATCAGCAGCATGTCTCAAAGCGCTTCACAGGATATACTGTGAAGTGTAGTGATAGTGTATTGGGACTCCAGACTGCAGATGGAATACATATCACACACATTTACACATGATATGTATTACACATGACAGTTCCTCAGGAACTCGGCTTCAATGCAACAACAACAACAAAATTACATTTGTATAACATCTTTCACGTCAGGAGGACATCCCAAGACACTGGACAGTGTACAGCATTTCAAACCCAAGCTGGGGTCAAGGGGGAGAAGGGAGGGGAGGGGAAGGGGGGGTGGCCAATGGCATGGTCGAAGAGGAGGGTCTTGATGTGGGACTTGAAGGAGGCTAAGGAGGGGGTGAGGCGGAGTGATTAGGGTTGGAGTTCCAGAGGTTGGGAACAAAGTGGCTGAAGTCTCTCCTGCCAATGGTGGGGTGGGTCGGTCGGGGGACATGGAGCAGGCCAGAGCCGGCTGAGCGGAGGGAACGGGCGGGTTGGTAGAGGGTTAGGAGGTCGCAGAGGTAGGGTGGGGCGAGACCTTTGAGGGGTTTGTATGTGAGGACCAGGATTTTGAACTGGATCCTCTGAAGGATAGGGAGCCAATGGAGTCGGGCGAGAGTGGGGGAGATGGGGTCACGGAGTTTGGTGCGGGAGAGGACACGGGCTGCAGCGTTCTGGATTATCTGCAGCCTGTGGAGGGAGGAGTTGCGAAGGCCGACAAGCAGGGGGTTTGCATAGTCGAGCCTGGAGGTGGTGAAGGCATGAACAAGAGTTTCTGTGGCCTGAGGGGTGAGGTAGTGGCGGAGTCGGGAGATGTTACGGAGGTGAGGGAAGGCAGAGCGGGTCATGGCTTGGATGTGGGGAAGAAAAGACAGTTGAGGGTCGAACAAGACACCTAGGATCCTGATTGGCTTGTTGGGTTGTAGTGTGCAACCATGGAGGTTGATGTTGCCAGAGCCTGAGGTGCTGAGGCACTGGCGCGAGCCAATCAGGAGGTCCTCAGTCTTGTTCACATTCAACTGTAGGAATCTGCAATCTGCTTCCGGTGTGGGGTGTGCATGTGGTTTGATAGGAATTCAAACAGGATTTATTATTAAGGAATCATATTAAGAAACATTGCAAATTAGATCCCACCATAATCCAATGATGTTTTTTTTTGATGATCGAAGTTAGGCCCCACTAAGCCGAATTAGACTGAATCCTGTTCCTCAAACGAGAACGTGGTTTGTCCCTCAGACAACCCTTTTCCTCCCCTAATCTGGGTCCCTGATCTTCAAAGGATGACACAGACCCGATTCCATTCCTCACGACCACCGGAGCAAGTCAAGTGACTGGATTGTCTCTATGGAACCAGAAAGCCTGGCCTGAGCCTAGTGACCAAGGGCTCAAGGTGGATCTGTTTCCCAGTTTCTCCACTCCTCTTTGTGAGGGCAAATCAAACTCCTCAGATCAGAGCCTCACTACCCATCTCAGCCAACAGAGGACTGAAGGCATGGATTTCCTGACAGTAGCTCCACCCACACAAATGGGAAGGCTCAGATTGTAGCTGCCTAACACAATCGAAACTTAAAGGGAGAGCACTGGCAGGAGCACAGCTCAAGGAGTGACTGATAAGAAAGATACTCCACTTGATCTCAGCCAAAAAGCCGAGAAGAGGGTTGTTTGTCTTTAACCCAAATATGTATTTATTGATAAATAGAATATATATTTGCAATTGCTTCGAAACATTCCTGTAAGAAAACAGAAAAAACACAACATGTTACTATCTTGTTACAATATGCACAGACCTAGCCCCAGGGGTAGGGGTGAGGGGAAGGGGCAGGCTGTGTATGGTTGACAAATCAACAGGATTCACTAAAAGGGACTCAGTCACTTCTGGGGGAATCCTGTTGGTAACCAATACATCATGGCTGACTCATGGTTCCCCTCTTAACTGAAGTGGTGGAAGTAGAAACTAGGGAGTTTGCTTTAAGATACTGGAGATTATAGGCAGGGACTGAATGTGAGGGAAAAAGAAAGAAACAGAGAGGGGAGAGATGGAGAGAAAGTTTGAGGGGACAGAGACAGTGTGTATGGTAGAGAAAGAAGGAAAGTGGGGGATAAGGAGAGGGGGGAGAGATGATTGAGAGGTGGGAGGTGGCGTGTGAGAGGGAAGAGAGAGTGTGAGAGGGTGTGAGAAGGGGAGTGCGAGAGAGTAATTGAGAGAGGAAAAATGTATGTGAGAGGAGAGTGCCTGAGAGAGAGGGGGAGAGAGAGTGTTCTGCCCCCTCCCCCTCTCTGTCTCCTCTCTCCCCTCTTTCACTCCCCCTCTCTCCCTCCCCTTCTACCTCCTCCTCTCCCTTCCCCTCTACATTCTCCTCTTCCCACTCTCCACTCTCTCCCCCCCTCGCTCCTTCCTCTCTCTCCCTCCCTCTCTCTCCCTCTCTCTCTCCACCTGCGCTCTCCCGCGTGCCCCCCACCCCCTTTCTCTCCCAATCTTTCTCCCAAACGCGGGTCACGATCTGCAGTGGCAGGAGCCGGTGGTTGCTAAGGACATGGTTGGTAAGAGACTGGCTTGCCTTCCTGACAGGCTGCAGTAAAGGCTCTGGGCGTTGAGTCCTCCCAACCGCCGGCTCCTGCCACTGCCCTCGGAGGACGTTCACCAGGGAGGGAGGGAGAGAGAGGGTTGGAATGGTGGAAATGGTCTCGGGTCACCAGCTGGCCCACGCTGGATGTGGCCCGTGAACCTTTCTGAATCTGACCTGCGGTAGCCAGAAGGTTGGGCCACCCTACTCTAGGTTATTATTTTTAAAACTTTCAGAAAAGAAACCGAATTTAGCCTTTAAGTAAATGCCTAAAATTTGGAATATTGTGGGTCACAATGTATTATGAACTTTTGTGAACCACCATTTTTTTTTACCCCATTACCAGAACATATTTGGGGTATTCTTTAGGTGCTCCTTAAATTAGAACCAGGGACAATTGGTGCTGATTTTAGGAACAACTTTTGCCTTATTATTGAGTCCCTGAATCTGCACCAGTAGACTGGTATTGTAGAAATGTGCCATTCAGTAGCTTGGCTTTAAATTGGTTTAAGTCAGTTATTTTAAGGAAATTACATGTTGAATCATAAGTTTTTGTAAGTGAGAGCGACTATGTAGCTCCCAAACACCAAGAGTTAATTATATCTGTCTACCTCAACAATGAAATACGAGTTGTATCAAGTGCTTCGAAATGTATGTGTAAATGCAAGGCTACTCCAGTTACTGAAAGCAGGCGAAATAGTCCTGTTAAATTCCTCAATGAAACTGTCAATCCTAAAAGAAAAATACTGCACCTTGCACTGAATACACTAAAAGATGAAAGATTAGTATCAAGTGGTAAGAGCCATTTACCTCTCTGCTACAGCATAGTCTGCTCTTAATACTCTCTTTTGCTCTCTTTAATACTCTCTTAATACTCTCCTTTGCTACCCCTATTCTCAATTTAATGTACTGATAATGTGCCTTTAGATATCCGTAAGGCTTTGAAATCTGACAACAAAAGCTGCAGGTTAAGTACAGTGGAAACTTGTTTTTAAGGACAGTCAATAAACTAACTTATTTTGCTCTTTTATTGAGGTGCCACATTAGTGAATTTGATATTTTGGTCATGATTAGACTTAAATGCACATCAAAAGCAGACTGAAAAAGTTCTCTCAATATTGTGTTGCTCTTATTGCTGAGATATTCACAAAGTGAGATTCTATTGTACAACATTTGTATAGTAATAAATCACTGCTGAAAAAGCAATGATAAAGCAATACATTTCATTAGATCTCCACAAGTTACAAGATAATGGGATAAAGTATTCTGTGTTAATTAATTAATTGACATTTAAGGCCAACTTAGCAACTATAATAGTAATTATAATAATAATCACTGTATTTGGTATAGCACCTTATAACATTGTTGAAACATCTCAAACTGCTTCACAGTTTTTCTGTAAACTGTGGATATGTAGGTAACCATGGTAACACCCCATATACATCCATGAAATGAATAATCAATTTTATCTGGAAGAATGTTGGCCAATGGGAGAAACTCTCTTCTCTTTTTGAATAGTACTCAGGGATCTTTAACAGCCACTGGAACAGCCAGAAAGGACGTCACCTCTGATAATGTTAGAGTGTTTGCCTAGATTGAAGGCTTAAATTCTGATCTTCTTTGTTTAGTTAAGCCCAGTAACACTCTAACCAGCCATGATCCATGAGAAGAAACCCAATGGTACAACTGGCTGGTTGGAAATGACTATTGAGAATGGGAGTCAGGAGTGGGTCACTGTTCAGAACAACCAAGGACCAGTCAGTGTGTTATATCATACGGTTGCTAAATAACTATCAGTGTTTAGAAGAGCATCACAACATTGCAACATGTATCTCAATATTGCCAATATCTAGCCTGAAGTAGTGTTGACATGACAGGAGCCCCATGTTGAAAAAGTGGAAGTGGCATTTGTAGGCATGAGGCACAGTTGGACAAAGCTAGAGAAGTTATAAATGGAAGATTTATTTGTACAATGACTTGCAAACAGATACCCAGACCAAATCATATTTTTGTCTGAAGAACTGAAATCAATAGCTGCAGGAAAAAAATGTTAACACAAATCAATGCAATGTAACAGTATTGCTAATATTCAATGGGCCTCAATGTTAATTTGCTTCAATCTATTTGGCTGTAAATCTTACAGTACCACTAAATAGCAGGATCAAAGAGCAAATAGCAGCTTCTGTGGATGCTCACTTTCTTTGGGAGAACTGAAGAATTATGATATATCCTAGGTAAATAGTATTTGATGACTTCTATATTTTTTCAGCAAAGTCATAAAAAGGCTTTGTATTTCTAAAATCCCCCACATTCAGCAGAGCTCCATTAGAAGCACATTCTTTCAGCTTCAAGCTAGCAGACTGCTTGCTATACATAATATCATATTGATTTTACAATGTTAATGCCTCAGACCACACAGATTCTTGACTTACTTATCAAAAGCAGCTTCCCTAAATTGATTTATGCTTTTTCTTCAACGAGCAATAAAGCCAACCGCTGTAAGAAAATAAAAAGCCTCATTCACTGAGGTTTATAGGGCAGAAAGATTTAATGGTTCAGCAGCAAAGGCAGCCTGTTCAGGAGAACTCTGAAATGGGTTCTCCTGACCAAATTGAAATCCTTACAAAATGGTCTGAGGTCAGGATAAATCTGTTCAACAGATATTTTCAAGTTCAATTACATTGGAGCAAAGTACAAAAGAGACTTTTCCAAAAGTGAGCCTAGAAAGTTAATATAGCTGTTGCAAACTCTTTTTGCAGTAAGTTTAGGAAATTTTATTCTATATTTCTGAGTTTAAGGGATGCCATTATTCCAGCAGCAGCTGTCCATCAATGCATTCCACAAACTAATGTGTAAAGACATCTACACCATTCAATTCATGATTTTAGCATTAATACCATACGTTTATTGAAAAATTGCTAGCAATTCAACAGCAAGATTTTGTATGACTAGTGCAGTCAGATATGTGAAATGCTTTGAGTCCATGTGAAAGGCTCTATATAAATGTAAATTGTTGTTGTAAATTGTTGAATTGCTATTATGTACATATGCTGGTAGAAATAAAACTATGGTTCCTCCAGGTAGACAATTCCCAGCTTTTCCATATTGCAGTAATTAGGAATAACGGGAAAGTAGATGGGGAGAATACAACAGATTCCAATAACACACTGCAAGAACAAAGTCTGAGCTATTTCTAACTGCTGTCTAAAGAAGGGATGCTACATTTACGTAAGAAAGTTGGTAAGGCTGCAGTTGGAATACTACATGAAGGTCAAGTGACTCATCAAGAAAGATCAGAGCCTTGAAAAGAGTACAATGTAAATTCACGCAGTTAATGTTGGCCGGAGCCTTACTTAACTTTTAGTATTCGAGTTATGTTAATGGGATGGAAATTGCACAGTGGGAGAATTGTTTAGTTGCTTAGGCAGCGACTGATTCATTATTAATACCAACAACCAGTTGTATGGGTTTCACAGTTTCATATTTCATCCACAAAATATACAGTCAATTCACTTTTTAATGTTATCTTTTTGCAAATGTGTTACAAAACAATCAGAAGCCAGAAATTTTGTATGTTCCTAGGCTTAAGATCATTGACCTAATATATATTATGAGGAATTTTGAAAATCAATCTTAAATTCAATCTTACCTTGGAGTCCTGAAGCTCAGTGGTTAGACCACTCACCTCGCAAGCAAGAGACCTGAGTTTGATTCCCGGCAGTGTGAAAGGTTGGGCAAGTTTCCCTACTCCACACGCCTTTGTTTATCTAGCAGTAGGAAGCCGGTTGTTGATTAGGGATCACTTTTCTGGGAGTAATAATTCCTTCAAAAAAAAATAATAATAAAATTGTTCACTTCAATCCACGACTGTTTGCGGGACACTGCTGTGCACAATTGACTGCCGTGTTTCTCCCAAAAAATATACAGTCAATTATCTTTAGAGTAAGTTCTTTGAAGTGGTTTGAAACATTTCAAAGACATGATAAGGTGCTATATCAAATCCAAAGATTATTATTATTATTACTACAGTACTTTACAATTGAATCTGTTCAGTTCAGCTCAGTGACTTAAACTGCAGTTAAGTTGTTTCTCAGATGCTTTCTGGACAGCAACATAAGGTCAACATCCTCAACTCTGCATGATGTGCCCTATCGTATTTTTAAAGATATTTCCAGACATTCCTTCTATGTTAAAGGTGTTATATAAGTACAACTATTTTGTTCCTTGTTCTAAAGCTCCTATTTTCCTGCTGACATGGGCTTTTAGGATGATGCTGATGTTGAATGGAAATTTGCCAGAGCTAAGTTGTGGATTTCTTACTTTGAAGAAGGGCGGACTCTTCCTGTGCCATTTAACCTCGTGCCAAGCCCTAAGTCAATTGTCTATCTGCTGCTGAAAAGCAAAAGACTGCTTGCTAAGCTTCTGAGGTGCAGAAAAGAAGAATTGCATGAAGATGCAGAAATGGACAAGGTAGATCCCTTGATTGATTCTCTGGTTGTGTTATGTAACTCATTTTAAACAATGTGCATCACAAAACCACAACAACAACAAGATTACATTTGTATAGCGCTTTTCACGTCGGGAGGACGTCGAAGGCAGGTGAAGAAGAATCTTTGGCTCGTTTGATGATAACAATAATAATAATAATAATTCTTGCATTTGATACATTGTTGTGATGTCTCACAGCACTTTACAGGATATTCTGTAAAGTTTTATAACTGTGTATATTTTGTGGGCGAAATGCAGCAGCCAATATGTACACAGCAATGTCCCCCAAACAGCCATGGAGTGAGTGACCAATTTTATTTGTGGGATTTGTTGGCCAGGTCATCGGGGGAAACTCCCTTCTGCTATCAAACAATGCCATATGATCTTTATCGTGCACCTGAACAGCCAGATGAGACCTCAGTTTAACATTTCATCCAGAGGACAGCACCTCTGACAATGCAACACCCACCCCAAGCAGTGCTTGGAAGTGTGAGCTTAGATGATGTGAATTGATCTGATCTATGTCAAATCCATGTAAAATTTGAAAAGAGAAGAGGTTTTCTCTCTCCCGGTGTCCTGGCCAACAATCCCCCAAATCCAAGTGGTCACTTAATCCACAACTATTTGTTGTTGTTGTGCACAATTGGCAATTGGCTGCCACATTTCATCCACAAAATATACAGTGAATCCACTCTATAATATATTCTGTGAAGCCCTTTGAGATATCTCAACAAAATGAGGTACTGTATCAAATGCAAGGTTTATTATTATTAAAATACCCACTCTCTGTGATTCTACCCCACTCTTCTGTTCACCCACTCCACTTGGCAATCTCGGGGGCCTGCAACATGCCCCCCACCCCTTTCACCCCACCATCACCTCTACCTTTAGGTTATCTTCTCTGTCTAATCCTCTACCTTGCCCCCTCTTTTCTGTCTTTAAATCCTGCGTAAAATCCTACCTTTTCATCCAAGCTTGGCATCCAACACTGTTGACATAAAGCACTTCCAGACGTTATCCTACATGAAAGACACTCTTGTTGTTGCGTTTGCATTATAGAGAACAATGCTTTTATTTTGGAAACAATGAGTTAGAGAAGAGGACAACAAGTGTGAATTTGCACAATGAGAGTGCAGAAAGAAGGAGAAACCTGTTCGCATCCTTGAAACAAAATGATAAAAAGACACACGCACAATGGTTAGAAAGCTAAAGTAATGCCTCCAATAGAAAATGAATCACTGTGGAGAATTCAGGGACATGAAGTGAGGAACTAAGTAATGAACTGAGATTATATTGACTTTACTCGACAATTATAGAAGATTTTGTATGGTCTGTGGGCAGGAGTGGAGGTGCTGCCAGTTAATTAAAAAATACATGCTGGAGGCAGTAAAAGATGATCAGTAATTTTATCCGCTTTTCAACACAGCCTGAATGAAGACAACAGAAAACCAATTTTTTGCTCTTACGAGCTAACTTATCACTGTTGCATCTAATGAACTCTGCTCTTTTGTGTCCTATGGCTGTTATTCGTTTTGTTCTCAGTGAGAGTCCACCTAAAATGCTGCAAAATGTGTTGATGTTAAAACAACCTTTTTTCAAAGGAAATATAATAAATGCAGCTTTACTTCTCAGCTATTCTTCAGATTGTTGCCGAAATACAATATATGGCACAACATGGAATGCTTACTTCATAGGTGCTGTATTATATTACAATTTTAAAAAAATCAAATCTGCTGCGAAGGGGAACAAATGTTAGGATTTAATCTGCTGTTGCCATTCAATGAAAAAATTATACCCAAAACTAGAGAAGGGCTGGTTTCATTCTCATAATTCTTCCAAAGCTTAGGGTTTGAAGTTATAAACTTTTTTCGAATGAAATGTAATAAATGGACTTCTGCTTCTCAGTTGCTCTTCAGATAGCTCTCTAGGATAGATCCGATGTGAAAGGTGCTATACAAATGTAATCTTGTTGGTGTTGTAGCCTGGACTCAGTGCCAATGTCCTGGAGACAGATCATTTATTCATATTTTATGAGTTTCAAGAGGGAAGTAGACATGTATATGAAAGTTGGAGATTTGAAGAAAGTTTGGGGAATAATAATAATAAAGTGGTATTCCTTGTATTTGATATAGCACCTTATCACATCGTCGATACACCTCAAAACACTTCACAGGATATACAGTAAAGTGGATTGCCTATATTTTGTGGGCAAATGTGGCAGCCAGTTTGCAGACAGAGGTGTCCCACAAACAGCCATGGAATGAGTGACCAATTTACAGGCTAGGGATCTGCCTCCAACACATTCAATTAATTCATAGCCCCAAATACAGGCAGTCATCCCAAAATTAAATTATTGTGTATATATATATATATATATATACATATATATCTTCAACTATCCAGACTACACTATTAGGGTTTGTTTTGGTAAGGTGGTATAGAACAGCTCTCTAGAATAGAACCTTAGCCTGGTCTCAGTGTCAATATCCTGGAGGCAGATCATGTATGCATCTTCTGTGGGTTAGCACGGAATTTTTACTCTGTGAGTTTCAGTTAAGCCACAACCTTGCTACCTGGCATGTTGAAAGTCACAAAGATGACTTGGAAGGTGAACACATGATCTAGGACAACTGTCTGAGAATAGCGCCAGAGGCAGAGGGAGTCTGCTTCCCACACATCTGGGGAATTCATACTCAATAATGTGTTTGCCATATTTTAGGGATTGCAGTAGATTTATCAGAACTGAAATGAGGTAGCAAAACTTAAGATTTAATATTGTGCGGAATTTTGGAAAATAATCTTAAATTCAGTGGTACTGTGGAAGCTGCTTTCCTGCGGTACTCAGATTTGAACTGCAAAAAATAGCCCTTCCAAATATTGTCATTTTAATATGTTTCTTTCTGTTTACATCCTCCCCACCTCCTCCAGCTTGGCCAGAGTAAACCTTCAAGCATCCGAAGCTCTGAGGATCACAGTTTAAACAGCATTAGCAACCCACCAACGAGATACCAGGTAACTACAAACAAGTGTAGATTGCCCTCTATAACGTTATGTTTTTGCAAATGTGTTACAAAAGAATCAGAGGCCAGAAATTTCTTATGTTCCTAGGCTTAATTTCATTGACCTAAAATATATTATGAGGAATTTTGGAATTCAATCTTAAATTCAATCTTATCTTGGAGTCCTCAATGGTTAGACCACTCACCTTGCTAGCGAGAGACCTGGGTTTGATTCCCGGAAAGGAGAAATGTTGGGCAAGTTTCCTTACTCCACACCTAACAGTAAATAGGAACCCGGTTGTTAGTCGATTGGCGGATCACTTTTCCGGGCTTCAAAAGTGATAATAAAATTGGTCACTTCAATCCACGACTGTGACACAACTGTGCGCAATTAGCTGCCGTGTTTCTCCCACAAAATATACAGTCGATTCACTTTACAGTATATTCTGTGAAGCACTTTGAGACGTCTCGAAAACGTGATAAAGTGCTATATCAAATGCAAGGATTATTATTATTATGATTATTATTATCTTGGAAGTTGAGCTCCTGCAGTAACCAAAAGGACATGTGGAAAATCAGCTTCCAAATTAAGACTGAATTTAAGACTATGTTCCATGTTATATATATATTATTACATATTATATTATATTTTTAGTCTTAATCTTGAATTTTAAGATCATGATAAAGCTAAAACTATGAGAAATTTGAGCTTCTAAAGTACTACAATGAATCCATTTTGTCCTCAATAAAAGATTTCCATTTCATTTTAAATTAACAGTTGAAGTCTAAGTACTTAAGACAATAAGGGGCTCTATTTAATATTGCATATGGTGTACAATATATACAGTTCAAAAGGAATGCTGAAGTCCTGAGGACCATTTTATTGATTTATTCTCCTCTTCACTTGCCAGCATCACAGTATTTATTTCACTATTCCATCCTATTGCAGGAAGCAACACACATAATAATCCTCAGCTGTGTAATGAAAAATGTTAAGCAGCCATTCCAAAGAATTGAAACCTGTTCTGCAAAACACAAGAATTTCAGGGCAAATTTTAAGCCGTCAAACAAGCACATAGAGCTTCCTGTCATTTGTATTAAACAACTTTCTGGGGCTGTGTATTGTCATTTTCTCAACCAACAATGTGTAGATCACTCTTTTGTTTTAGGTCTCCCGCTACACAATCCAACAGTCACACCAAACATCCTCTGCTCAGTTCTCCCTTCTTCTTGTTTTCTCTCCCTCCTGATCTCCTTACATCGGTTGTAGTCAATTAGTCCTTATTTATTAATTAATATCCAACGTATATTACAAGCTGTAACATAACATCTACATTATGGCAAATAATGAACTGGTTTCACTGCCAGGCTGATTACCTCATCAGGGTGGGTTATCCAAGGTTATCTTACAACTTTGTAACTCACTGCTCAGTAATTTTTATTATCAACATGTCAGTTTAGCTTAGTTGGTAACATTCTTGCCACAGAGGGATGTGGGTTCAAGCCTCATGATAGGCTGGTTGAGGCTGGTACTCCAGTGAGATTTGTTGAACTGAAACTGGGGAAAATTGCAATGTGTGATGGGATAATGATCAAATCGTCGAATTTTCTGCCCTGTTGATGTCTGACTGGCTTCATACCGATTTTACTAAAATTATGGTGCCTGTGCATGGAAGCTGCTGGGCTGCAGAGCACAGCTTTTGAATTCTAGTTGGCTGAAAATCCAGGTAGCACAAACGTTAAGCCAGCATTGTGTGTCACCCTGGCTCAGTTGGTAGCATTTTCGCCTCTGAGTCAAAAGGTTGTGGGTTTAAGCCCCACTTTGAACTCATATTGTTTAAGATGACACTGCAGTCCAGTGCTGGGAATGTGCTGCCTTGTTGAAGATGCCATTCTTCAGATGAATAATTAATCCAAGCCCTCTGTATCTGTGCAAGTGGGATGTTAAAGGTCTCATGGCATTATCTGAAAAGAGAAGGAAGTGTCTTCCATTTTCTGAGCCAATGATTCCCAGGATAAAATGAGTCATTCACTTCATTGGTGTTGGTAGGACATTGCTGTGCACAAATAAGCTGCCACACTTGCCTTCAAAATCCGCAATCATTACATTTTACATTATATGTTCAGAAGTGCTTTAGTCCTGGATGAGAGCTAACTTCCTGAGTTGAATGTCAACAACAACAACAACAACAACAACAAGATTCCATTTATAAAGCGCCTTTCACGTCAGGAGGACGTCCCAAGGCGCTGCACAGTTGGGTCATGACCCGAGCAGGGGGGAAATGGTCAGGGTGAGGGGAGGGAAGGGAGGGAGCGAGGAGGGGGAAGAGAGTCGAGAGGGGAGCTGAAGGCTCGGTCAAAGAGAAAGGTTTTGAGACCGGCCTTGAAGGAGGAAAGGGAGGAAGCAAGGCGAAGGCACTGGGGGATGGAGTTCCAGAGCCTGGGGCTGAGAGGCTGAAGGCCCGACCACCGATGGTAGGGCGGTTGGGGCGGGGGATGTGGAGCAGACCGGAGCCAGAGGAACGGAGGGTACGGGCAGGTAGGTAGGGGGATAGTAGGTTGGAGAGGTAGGAGGGAGCAAGGCCGTGAATGGCCTTGTAGGTGAGGATGAGGATCTTGAAATCAATCCTCTGGGGGATGGGGAGCCAGTGGAGGCGAGCGAGGGTGGGAGTGATGTGGTCCCGAAGCCTGGTGCGGGACAGTACACGAGCTGCAGAGTTCTGAATGACCTGCAGCTTGTGGAGGGAGGTGGCGGGAAGGCCGGCGAGGAGAGAGTTCCCATAGTCCAGCCTTGAGGTGACAAAGGCGTGAACCAGGGTTTCAGCAGCGTGAGGGGTGAGGTAATGCCGTAGTCTGGCGATGTTCCGGAGGTGATGGAAGGCGGTGCCAGTTGTGGTGCGGATGTGAGGGAGAAAGGACAGCTCAGGGTCGAACAAAACGCCGAGGTTCCTGACTGGCTTTGAGAGGTGGAGAGTGCAGCCTTGGATGCTGATGGTGTCAGCGCCTGAGGTGCGGAGGCGCTGACGTGAGCCAATCAGGAGGGCCTCGGTTTTTCGCACGTTGAGCTGAAGAAAGTTGTCTCTCAACAAGACCGATGCCCTCCTGCTTGGCTCCCATCAGCACCTCCATACCTCAGGCGCTGACAGCATCTCCCTCCATGGATGCACTCTACATCTCACAGAGCCAATATGGAACCTCGGCAATCCTGCTCAACCCTCCACTGTGCTTCATACCCCACATCCGTACCATGACCCGCTGTGCCTTTCCCCACCTCCGCAACATCACTCGGCTCCGCCACTGTCTCACACCGCAAGCCGCTGAGACCCTTAAAATGCTTTCATAACATCCAGATTCAACTACGCAAACTCCCTGCTTGTCGTCCTCCCCAACTCCTCCTTCCATAGGCTGCAGATCATCCAGAACTCAGCAGCCCATGTCCTCTCCCACACCAGGCTCTGTGACCCTACCACCCCCATCCTCGCCCGACTCCACTGGCTTCCCATCACACAGATCCTGGTCCTCACCTTCAAAGCTCTCCATGGCCTCGCTCCCTTCTATCTCTGTGATCTCCTAAACTCCTACCAACCTGCTCGCTCCCTCCGCTCAGCAGGTTCCGCCTAGAGTGAGTGGGCCTTCAGCCACTCTGCCACCACCCTCTGGAACTCCATCCCACAGTCCCTCCACCTCAACCCTCCCTTGCCTCCTTCAAGACCCATCTCAAGACCCTCTTCTTCAACTGTGCCAGTCACTCTTCTGCCCCCCACGACCCCCAGCTCGTGTCCGAAACACTGATTGTCCAGCGCCTTGGGATGACCTCCTGACGTGAAAGGCGCCATACAAATGTAATTTTGTTATTTTGTTGTTGTTTAGAGACGTCCTCCCGATATGAAAGGCATTATATCAAATGTAGAAATTATTATCCTGGGACCTGGCACTGAGATTCCATACACCACAGCTGACAGCCATAATGGAGTTACAAGCAACTCTGAGCTAAACCACTTGATGAAGTTTTTTGGGAGGAGGGAAATCAGATATCAGTATTGGATTTGTCTATGATGTGATAATTATATTGCTGATAAGGTCACAATTAATTTTCAGCCCATGGTTTCTAGGTTATCAGTGCAGTGTTTAAAATCTGTCTCTCTGCTTGGATACTTATTGGCTGTAAAAGTCCAAAGAGCCAGTCAGATTCTGAGGCTACTTATTTATTTATAGTTTTACAGGGTGTGATATCACATATTAGCAGCTCATTGTTCAATTTCTTGCTTTTTTAAATCTTTAGAAGATAATGAAACGTCTCATCAAGCGATACGTACTGAAAGCACAAATAGATAAGGAAAATGATGATGTGAATGAAGGTGAGTCTGAGCTGTGCCTGTGTATTGGGAGTATTTCATATTCCAAACAATGATGTCAGTCTGGCTCAGTTTGATATCTCTGGGTCAGAAGTTTATAGGTTCACGTCCTGGTTAGGGACTTTGAGCTTATGTTCGAGGCAAGCACTCCGGTTCTGCGCGAGGAGGGTTCTCCTCCATTGTTCGAGGTATCATCCATTGGATGAGACGTTAAACTGATGTCCCGTGTTCAGGTGGACATTAAAGATCCCATGCAACTATTTGAAAAAAGAAGGGAGTTTTCTCTTTGTACCTGATCAACAATTTTCCAGATAAATTGATCATTCACCTCCTGACTTTGGGGGCAATTGCTGTGCACAAATTGGCTGCCATGTTTGCCTAGAAATACACTCACTACCCTTTACATTAAATATTGTAAATGCATTGATACGTTTTAATGTGATAAGGTGCTATATGAAATATGAACATAAGAACATAAGAATTAGGAGCAGGAGTAGGCCATTCGGCCCCTCTAGCCTGCCCCGCCATTCAATAAGATCATGGCTGATCTATTCTAACTCCACCCAACCTGCCTGATCCCCATATCCCTTAATCCACAAGAAATTGATCAATCAAGTTTCTTTGAGTTTCTTTACAAGGAATATTAATACAAATGCTGTACTATATTATCCCATTAATTTGCATACTGATATGATGATCTGCAGGCTAACAACTGCAAGAATGGTCTGTTTGACTACAACAATTGTGCCACCAGTAGTGGGAGAAAGGGTCATACCTATGGCTAGTTTTTATTTAATAACTGGCTGCGTGAAGCCCTTTTTATTAACAATGTGATAATTATCACTAGTAGTATTTAACATATGACATGTCATACTTTCATTCTGTTATTTCAGTACTGGATCTCTCTTTTTTTAGCCAGTAAATGTCATGCCTTTGTTCAAAGTCACTTGTTGTGTGTCATCTGGCTTCTGCATCTCGGCTACTTGTTCATTTGTATACTTCTTGTTATTTTTAAGGTGAACTCAAAGAAATCAAGCAAGATATTTCAAGCCTCCGATACGAACTCCTTGAAGAGAAATCTCAAAACACAGAAGAGCTGGCTGAACTGATCAGGCAGCTTGGAGAAAAGTTAGGAGCGTAGTCTAACAGCATTGTCGGAAATATCTTAATGCTATTGATATCTTAAACCATTCTGTACCAAATCGGTAATTATATTAATAGATTTTGCACTTTCTTTACAATAGTGCTAAATATAATTTAGGTATAGATGTTTCAATAGGAATGAAAGCATAGTTGAAGTTATAGTTATGCAATAATTTATATGGTATCAGAAATGTTTCTATTACTTTTCTCGGTTTCCGGATAAAGGACCACACTGTATTAAAATGTTTATATAATAGTGACAATTTGTGTAAAATATATGACATAGTTTTCTTTACAATAAAGAGGATAACCTTACAAAGAAGTCTGAAGAACAAACATTTACACTTTGTCTACGATGCCCAATATATTGCTGAGAAGGATTTTTTTCTATGGTTCTATCAAATTGTAATTAAACATAAAAAGCCAAACTATGAAATTTATTGCTGTTTATATTTTTAGTGTGGGGTACCATTTTATGCCGCGTTTTATGCAAATCAGTGACGTCTTGCAAAAGTTTCATGTATTCCTAAAGAAAATGATATCCTGTAAATCTGGATTATATTAAATATGTGATTGTAGCAGGACTGTTTCCTAATTTTACATTAATTATCGCAGCGATAATTTCTGCTAGGTTTCAACCTACTTCAAGACTTGAATTGGAAAGCATTTTAAACATATGCTTGATAAGTCCATGAATCCATGCTGATGAATACCCCAATTTTGACACAATTAACCTTTGGATTGCTAGCAGATCGAGGGAAATTTCTATTCCTTGGCCAGCTGTTTTTTTTTCTAAAGATATTCACACATAGGTTGTGAAGATGGAATCATTTTTTTTATATATACCTGTACAAATTTTTCCTCAGTGTAAACAGGGACTGAGTAAATTGTATTAGTGCCCTGGTACTGACGGCATTTTGCGCAGCAAAGAATTGGAACAAGAGGAGACTCACATATGGAGTCCTTGTGTGGTTCAAACTTTGTTGAATTTGCTGGTGGATTGAGCTGAGACAGTGGTCGATACACTACAAATGGTCTTAGTGCCCAGAGGCTAAGGAGGGAAAAAATATTGATCAGGATTCCTGCTCTTTGCTTCCATACAGTGGCTCCTGTTAAGAGTAGATATCTTGCAAGGATTAGTCTCAAATCTGATGTCCCCCTCAACACATTGAAACAAGTTGGTTGGGCTCACACATGAGGAATCATCCTTTGGATGGGGTGTTGAAAATTACTGGTATTATTCAGATCTATGTAATTATGTGAATCTGGTTACCTTGCCATTCTGCTAGTTGGCATTCAATGGCTACAATATCACATTGAAATATCGAGGAAGAGAGGAGAAAAATCCTACTAGTTTAGAATTTTTGTTTTTAATAAATGAACCCAAGGTGACTTGAATTTTGAAAGAATTTTTAGAATCCTCTCTGTGGCTTAGCGACATCCGTGTTAAAATATAATAAAGTAAAATTGACTGACAAACTAATATTAAATACACAGCTGGGGTTCTGTTCCATTAGTTACATAACTCCTGCTTGTATGCAATTTCCTAGGCTTTCTACACACACACATACAGTGATGAGGATAAGCCAGCCTCTGAAAATCGCACGTTTAGAGAACAGAAGGAGCTTGTTCAGCTTACCATCTCATGCTGGTTTATTTCTCCCAATGGTAAAGAACAAGGGATGTTGCCAAACTGCCTGATATTCTGCCAAGATTCCCATTCAGGCCAGACTGCATGAGCCCTGTTGGGAGTTCCCCAACCTTAACCCCACCCACACTGTTTAATGGAAGATATTTGTATCGAGTAACTCAATAATGAGGTAATTATCACATCAAATCTGTTATAAAACGGCAGAATTTCAACCACCTTAATCAACTGGATTCAGCTCTACGCATGCAAAAGCCTTGCTACAATAATGTGCTTTGTTGGAGTATTTTACAAAATACTATCCACCATCTTGGATTGAAAATCATTTGCCAAATATATGTATTTCTCAATTTGGATGCAAAGTTTGAATTTTCCTTTACTGGACAGCCGCTGAGTTAACCCAGCATCATATTTTTAGTTGATATGTAATCTCCTGCTCTCTGAGAACAGGGGAAATCTAATATTTTAAAAATGACTGATAAACTGCGGGGAGTTTATGTGGCATGCAAGGGTCTTGGAATTCATATAACCTATGCTGACACTCCAATGCAGTGTTGGGGATGTGCTGCATTTTTGGAGGTGCCATCCTTTTGATGAGACATTAAAACAAGATCTTGACTGCCTGTTCAGGTGGATGTTGAAAAGATTGAAAAGAGAAGGGAGTTTCTCCCAGTGTCCTGGCTGACAATCACCCAAGCAATGTCCCACAAGCAGCAGTTGTTGATTTTTTTTGTGAAGGAATTATTACTCCCAGAAAAGCGATCCGCCAATCGACTAACAACCGGGTTCCTACTTAATGTTAGATAAACAGAAGCATGTGGAGTAACGAAACTTGCCCAACGTTTCACTCTGCCGGGAATCAAACCCGGTCTCTCGCTTGCGAGGCGAGTGCTCTAACCACTGAGCTATAGGACTGCATGCTTTCTTGGGTTTTACCTCTCTCATCTTTTCTCCATTACCAGTTCAGTCTTCTCAGTCTCTTAGAATTTATTGTGAAGAATATCAAAAATCATTTGGTGATTTACATATAACACATTTTTCATGTCATATTTAGAGGCAATTATTATTCTTGGCTAAAACATGCATATAAAAGTTCTGTTCAGTGTTACATGCAGCTCTGCAACTACTAATCTCATTAGTTCTGTATTGCTGGAGGTGTACCTTTAGAAACGATGTTCAACCGAACTCCCACCTGCCTGCGCAAGTGATCCTTAAAGATCCCATGGCATTATTTAAAAAGAAAAGGGAGTTTTTGTTTCCTGTCTCCCAGATAAAATTGGTCATTCTCTTCATTGTGTGTGGGATATTGCTACGTGCAAATCAGCTGTCACAAATTGCCTACAAATAGACAGTCACAGCACTTTACAGTAAAAACTTGTGAAGCACTTTGAGATGTCTTGATGATGGATAACAATAATCCTTACATTTGTTTAGTGCCTCTAACTAAGGAGGACATCTCAAAGTGCTTCACAAGATTTACTTAGGCGCTATATCAAATGTAAGAATTACTATTATATAGCGAATGAAAGTTATATCCAATGGTGAGGTACCAGAGGGCTTCTGATTTCTGTGTCCATTGGCAGTCAATATTTTTCAGGAAACGAAGACTAAGGAGAAACAGACAATCAAGAATGCTTGCCACATTATATTATGTTTATATTACCTAGATATTTTATACAAAACGCAGTAACTCCAAACAGCCACAAAGGGGCAATATCTGCCCATATCTTCACAGTTGGACCTGCCTCGCTAATGCATTGTCTTTCATTGCCTCCAAGCCATGTTCAGAAAATAAGAGAATGGGAGTTTTAACAAATTGCGACAAATTTGTTTGACTAATAATGAGTATAGTTTTAGAACATAAACGTTCTCTGGATTTTTCTTTTTGTGCACTTTCGAAAAACCTGATTTTTCTTTCTGTGCACTTTGGAAAAACATGATTTCGCCCACAAATATACAGTCAATTCACTTTACAGTCTATTCTGTGAAGCACTTTGAGATGTCGAGAAGACGTAAAAAGCATTATATCAAATGCAAGGATTATTATTTTATTATTATATATCAGTAATAGTGATGGTTTAAGTGGTACTGGAAGTACAAGAATCATAATCGTAATCAAATACATTTTGGATTTGGTATAGCACCTGTACACCAAATTATCTCTATGAGGTTCACAGGAACCATCTGCCTTTGTGTCAAGTCATTTCAAATTTTACCCTGACAATGTTGAATTAAAAGTTAACATTTTTATATGCAATATATAATTAATAATAATCCATCCAACTGATCAGACCTTAAACCAAGGTTGTGTTTGTCTGTTCAAGGTGAATGTTAAAGATCCCATGGTGCTATTTGAAATGAGGAATATATATAGATATATGCAAATAATAAGCAGCTATATATTTTTTATATGTACCTGATGGAAAATGACTTAAGTGTCATTTGCTGGTCTTATTATAGAACTAGGAATTACAATGGGAAATATGAATCTATCAGAGCTAATGTTAACATTTACATTAGGTGAGAATCAAGCAGAGATGCGTTAAAAGAAGTTTGTGTTATTTCACTTGTGGTTCCCAGGTTCGCTCTTTTCTCTCCCAGCATTCCCTCCATGAACCACTCCAATCTGGGTTTCATGCTGCTTTCATTAGGTCCTGGCTTCGCTATACCAACTGACCTCTGTCACCTTCATCCCCGTCTTTTACATAACCTGTCTGTGTTTAATAATTATCTTTTCTGTTATTTAATGTATGCGTTGGAAACATTAACCTGTTGAAAGTGTTTCATGTTTCTATTATGTAGTTTAAAGCATTGATTACTTAAATGCGGTTAATTGTGTGAACCGAATGCGGTCAGGTAAACCCGCACAAACATCGAAAGTTCGGAAAAGAACTAGCGCATGTGCATATTGGTTGTCAGTGTAATATTAATTTAAATGAATTATTAATGGATTTAAATAAGATTGTGACCCGGTTGGTACCATCAAGTCTCCAAAGGTGTCAGCTGCAACAACTTGGCGGGATAACTTACCATCCTAATATGCAAATGAAGGATTGGAAGTGTACTTGACTCTAGCTGGGCAACTGAGGGGAGGATTCTGATGGGCAATAAAAAAAGCACCAATTACATCAAGCCATTGGCGCAATACAATTACCATTGGGTACCCTAATTCGGTGGAGCTCAATGCCATAAAAGAACAAGCGCCATGTGCTCTTGGTCACCTTTACTTGATAACATCTGAAAGGTAAGTGTTCTTGACTGGCTAAAAGAACATACCCTCTGAGTCAAGAGTTGGCTCAGTGCACATACATTAACCTCATATTTAATAGGCTGTTAGCTAGTATTTGTTAAAGTTGATTAGTTATTTGTGTAATTTGTGCTTCTGTAATTCATTGTTATTTGTTGAAATCATTTGAGAACTATTTCTGAGGAGTTTTGGATTCTGAACGAATCATAATAAAAATACGGTTAAGTTTTCTTAACTGTCTCATTCAAGCTCCAATTAATTAATTAATTAATTAATCTCAAGTTTAATTTTCAATACAAGGAGGGAATACACAAATAGGTTTAGCCTAGGTCTCAGAGTTGTTTGAAAATAAACCTCTGATTGACTGAAGCTTCCCAATTTGCTTTAATATAAATAGCAATTGGTAGTACCTGTCGATGTGGAAGAACTCAATAGTCAAGTTACACGTAGATATAGGGACTTGCATACATTAGCGAGGATTGAACACAGAGGCCACCCAGTACACTCTGCGAAGGGATGCGAGCCATATCCTGGAGATACAAATTAAGGGTGTAGATCTCTCTCACTGCTCACTGGACTTCCCAACTCTTCCCTCAACAAGCTGCAGATTATTCAGAACTCTGCAGCTCATGT